CCCATCCCCAATCAGCACTTAGACACTCAGTGGCCACCCTTGGGAGCAGCTCCTCGCTGCCGTGGCGCGGACGGAGCCTTTCGAAAGCTCTTGCACAATGAGGTGAACGTGTTTGACTCTAAGCATCAAAGCACTGGATCGTGAGCCCCCCGTGCCCCCGCCCAGGTCAATCTGCTGACTTTCCACTCGGTTTTTCCGTGCTGTACTGTGTGTGTGTGTGTGGCGGGGGGCGAGGGGCAGCGCTGGGAGCCTGCCCGTGGTGGCAGCGCTGTCCCCAAGGGCAGGAGCGGCGTCACTCGGGTCAGTGCTGGCAACACAAGGGCAAAACCCTCTGCTCCTCGCCGGTGGTCAGTAGTGTTCTCACAAAGCCATGAAACTTCTCCGTAGTGTTGAGTGAAACTGTGACTAAAACGTTCTTGAATGATTCCGAGGTTCTTTTTTTCTCTTTCTTCTGTCGTTAATTCTTATTACCACTTTGGAAGAAGAAATTTAAAAAAATAAATAAATAAAAAATTAAAAATAATTAAAAAAAATATAAAAAAAAAGAATGAAAAAGAAAAAAAAGGCAGCTTTGATTTTCCAAATGTGCAATTCACATGTGAACAAAGTAATTCTGAAAGTAATTCTCAGTGTATTTTACATTCTCGTTGCTCTCTTCAAAGCAAGAGATGTTTTGCCCTGATGTCATTTCCAGCCTGCAGAAGATGTAATTTAAAACATATATATATTGTGCTTGCAAGAATCATAAATCTGTGCATCCTATGTCATTCCTTTTCCCATTGTTACAATACAGATATGATTTAGGTTGGATTTTTTTTTTTCCTTTAGACCTGTATAGTGTTTTTTTAAATCAATTGTAAATGTCTGGTTTTCATATAATGTTTAAAAAACATTGAGAAAGAGGATGGTGCTTGTTCCATATCATTCTTGATTGTATATTGCTTCTGTTATGTTTATAAGTAAACTGTGCATGACTTGTGTTTAGCAGTCATTATTGTGTCCGTTTGTGAAATTTTTATTAAAAAGAAAAAAATTCCGTAGATGCACTTATTGTATATGTGATTAGATTTTGCGTCCGAGGCTCGAAGCCTCGAACTGCCAAGGAAGAAAGAAAAAGTGTTGGCAGTTATTAATTAATATGGAATCGCTTTGTTGGGAGCATAATGAAATAAAAGATATGAAGTGTAGAAAATAATTAAAAAAAAAGGCAATTTTACAAATTTCATTTTGATGCTTGTGATAAAAGACAAATGTACTTGTGTAGAGAAATTCCTTTAAAATAATGAATAGAAAAAGCTGATTTTGAGGTTAATGCTGTAGAATAGGAATGTATACCAAATGTAATCTTTCCAATGCTACAATGAATTTATACATGAGATTGATATGCAATAAACCTGTGTGCTTTTATAAGCAGTGGTCCTGTGAGCTTCATTTCATGGAATAACCATGGAGAACATCCCCAATAATGGGACAGTGGGTGTGTCACTGTCTGGCTTTGCCACTCTGAAGTACCTGTGGAGTCTGATGTCCTGTGTGTGGGTTTGTAATATTCAAAAGACCCTCAAAAAATTAACTTATGGCCACCCCACTTGCTTCTGAGGTCAGCATCATGGAATCACACAGTGATTAAGGTTGGAAAAGCTCTCCAAGGCCATCCAGTCCAGCCTGTGCCAAATCCCCACCTTGTCACTTAGAACAGAGCCCTGAGCAGCACATCCAGGCTTTCCTTGGACACCTCCAAGGATGGGGACTCCAAACCTCCTTGGGCAGCCCCTTCCAATGCCTGGACATCTTTTCCATTAAAAAATTCTTCCTCATATCCAACCCAAACCTCCCCTGGCACAACTTTGAGGTTTCCTCTCATCCTTGTTTTCCTCCTGTCATGGAGTTGTGCAGAGCCAGAAAGTCCCGCCCAAGCCTCTCTTTTTGCCAGGCTGAGCCCTGCCAGCTCCCTCAGCTCCCTCCACTCCACACAAGATTTCTCCAGCCCTTCCCCCAGACCTGTGCCCTTCTCTGGAAATGTTTCAGCCCCGCAACATCTCTCTTGTTGTGAGGGGTCCAGAGGTGGACAGAGCACTCGAGGCCTCCCCAGAGCAAAGCAGGTGCATCACATCCCACTGAAGGGATAGGATGTTTGCAGAGGGAGGAGTGAGAGTATTCCAGGGGGGGAGAAAGTGTTGGGATGGGGCATCGGTGAGCTGATGGAAAATGTCAAGCATATTTCCTTTCACAACCAGAGAGCAGAGCAGTGAACTGCCCAGTGATAGAGGTCAGATGGTTCAGCTCCAGGGGACCCTGGGAGCAGAAATTACTTAAAAGCCGGGTCTTTGAGCTAAAAACCCCATTACACAACTGATGAATGGCCTCGCTTCAAAAAGTCATTCATGGTGATCAAATGATGGTGTCCCACATTCGGGATAATGGCCCTTCCCCGGAGATCGGGAGGGTTTCAGTAGGAGCTGAACCCTTGAGTAGGAGCCCTCCTCTCTCTGAAGCCTTTCTCCTTATTAGCCCCGGAGGGATAGGATAAAAAATCTATGGGATAAGAAAGCTGTGATAATGGGGCGATTGTCAGGCAGGCCCTGGAGTGGAGAGAACAGAGGCATTTAAAAGAATATTGCTGACAAGTGGACTTTGTCATGCACAGAGTGCTTGAGATTCACCACAAACAAGTGAGAAAAAGGCCCCATTTGGGGGATGGGGAGGAGCAGAACAGGGGGCCAAAAGAGAAGGTCAAGGAAAAGTCTGTTTCTAGTAAAGACACAGCATTGTTGAGCCTTACTGGGCAGCTGTCAGCAGCCTGACCCTCAGATCCTCTTTTCCAGTAGCTGCAGCGTCCAAAAGCAGCCGAAACTGATGTTCTGTGCATCCGGAGGGATCACTCGAGGTTACCTTTGACCACTGAAGACCCAGCTAAAGCGAGCATCAGACACGCCTGTAGCAAGAGACAGCTGGGCTGCTGAAGTACCGAGTGTGTGTCGGCCAGACCCCGAGGACAGCCCGGGCACACTCGTTTGTCACCCGTTAACGCGACAGGAGAACGACACCGAGCAATCCCCCGCCTTCAGGGACCTTGCAGATGCACCCTTGCACCTTAGGGGATGGGGAATGCCGAGACTGCAGGGGCCGGCAGCGACGCTCCGCGCAAACACCTCATTAACACTCATCAAGAAACAGCAAAACACTGTTCCTAGAGAAGCTTAATTTTTTTTTTATCCCTGGGAAGCCGCGGCGGCCCCGGGACGGAGCGCGGCAGGGAGCAGAGCGCGGGCCGGAGCCGGCACGGGACACCGGCAGCGGCTCCGGGCTCCGAGCGACACCCCCAGCCCGGCACGGCCTCGGGGGCAGGACCGGCACCTCCCCCGGTCCCGCCCCGGTCCCTCCCAGCCCTTCCCGGTCCCTCCCAGCCCTTCCCGGTCCCTCCCAGCCCTTCCCGGTCCCTCCCAGCCCTTCCCCGCCCGCCGCCGCCGCGCTGGCTCCGAGGGGCGCGGGTAGGTGCGGGCGCGGTGGGGTCGGGGCGGGGGCGCTGCGGAGGGACCGGGGACCCGGGGGAAGGACCGGCAGCGGCATCGGGACCGGCACCGGGGCAGCCGTGCGGGCGGCGGCCCCGAGCGAGCGGCTGCCGAGCGCCTTCCGGGGAGGGGACGGCGGGGACCGGCTGTCCCGTCCCTCCCGAGGCTCGTCCTGCCGCGGCTCTGTCCCCGCTGTCCCCGAGGGTCTCAGCGCCCAGCGGTGCTGGGGGGGGTTGGGTCCATCGCAGAGGGGTTTGAGTGCTTCCCAGGGTTGTATCCCGCGTGCTCTCGGCCCTTTTGGAGCCCTGCCCCCTGCACCGCAGCCCTGGGCACGCAGGGATGGAATCCACAGGCAGTGACGGTGCCTGTGCCCGTGTGCCACCGCGGGCAGCGACACGGGGGATCGATGCCCTGGGTGGCCACCGAGCCTCCCTCCACCCCAGCACCGAGAGCTGCGGATGCTGTGGCCCCCAGACCCTCTGGATTCAGGCATGTTTATTGTTACCAGGGCTTAAGATAAGCTCCATCCCCAGCTAGGATGGGGTTAAGAGCGGAATGTGGCGCTTTGCTCGTCCGCAGGACACTTGGCAGACCTCTGGACACAGAGCATATGTCCTGCATCCTAGGACAGTGGAAGGAGCAGCGTCTCTGTCAAATGAGCTGTTGTTGATGGGTCTGTGCTGTCCTCCTGCCAGTCATTCACGCAGGGGAAAAGCACGCTCAGCCTTGGTTTGTTTCCTGGTCTTTGAAAGGGAACAGCTTGGAGATGGCACTGGCACACAATGGGATCTCAGTTGAGGACAATTAAACCATAGCTTCTCCCGGAGTTATGTAATGGGCAGAGGGCATAAAACACTCTGTCTGTTCTGTAGAAAGGTACGTGGTTCTGTGTGTGGAACAGGAGGGGATGAGTGACCTTAACCCTGGCTGGGGAGCCCCAGGGAGTAGGGCAGGTGTTTTTGTGGGCGGCGTGGAGCCGCTCCTCGGCACGGTTTGGGGCAGGTACGAGCTTGGAGGAGCACACGGTTCATGGCCAGGCGCTGCTGGGGATTCCACAGCCCGGGGCAGGTGGCATTCAGGAGGACACAGACAGGCTGTGGTGGCTGGCAGCACCCCAAAGGGGAGTGAGGGAATACAGAGGTGTGGCAGCAGTGGGGATCAGGGAGGCTCCAGCCCTGCCTGGCTCAGGTCTGAGCCTGCCCGGAGCCTGCAGCACGGCCTGGCTGCTCCCGGTGCCTGACCAGGTCCTGGAGCCCCCAGGCTGGCCCTGGCACACGGTGGCCCCGTGAGGAGCGCGGGCGGTGACAGCATCCCGAATGTGTCCATACAGGCCCTGCCTGCGGAGCACCCTGGGAAGGCGGAGGCCGAATCCTGCGCTGTCCCAAGGTTCCTGTGGCTCAGCATAAATTCCTGCTGCCTTACTGGGAGGTGTTCAGCCACCTGTCTGTCTGTCTGTCTGTCCTCAGCTTGCTGCTCCCCTGGGCCTCCGCCATGTCTCGGAGCCCCTCTCCTGCCTATGTGGATGACAAGACCTTGCTCCTGGAGTACCGATGCCACCCAGTGCAGCCGGTGCCCCCCAGCCCAAGCTGTGCCCCCGGGAACCGCAGCTCCACCACGGCTCCCAATGCCACCTCACTGTCACCACTGGCCTCCCCCACCTCGGCCGAGCCGCGTCGCATCATCCTCAGCACGGACAGCCCGGCCGCGCTGAAGGTGGGAACGCAGCAGCTCATCCCCAAAAGCTTGGCCGTCTCCTCCAAGCCCAAGAACAGCCCTTCCCGGCACCAGAGCTTCGGGGCGAGACGGGAACCCCTGAGCCCCGACCCAAAGCGGGTGGCCGTCCCCATCCTGGCCCCGGAGGCAGAGGATGAGGATGATGGCGGAGGGGCCCTCAAGCGCAACCTGAGGAACATGTCCTACCGCGCGGCCATGAAGGGGCTGGACGCCGGGCTGGACACCGAGCTGGGGCCAGCCAAGGCCGCTCCCTCACTGAAACCCGTGTCTGAGGATGGCAGTGCCCTGCCCAGCCACAGCCCGGCCAGGAGCAAGGTGGGTTTAGCACCCGCTGTCACCCCTGTCAGGCAGGGGTGAGGTCCTGCTCTCCTGGTGGTGACAGAGGAGCTGCAGGGCCCACAGCTCCGGTCAGCTCTAGGGCTGGTTTGCTGAGCCTGGTGTCATGACTGGTGCCTTGGGAAGCTCCGTGTCACCAGCAGATGCTGCAGGTCCCTGGAGAGCCTGGGAATAGCTGACATGGCTTTCGTGGGGAGTGGAGCTGGACACTTGGCAGGCGGCTGCGGGATGTTTGCAGGGTGCGGCTGGCCGGGTGCGCAGCTCCAGTTGTACACAGATGTGGGTGAAGCACGTCTGGGGACAGGGAGACTCCAGAGCAGGCAAAGTCCAGAGAGAGAGATTTGACAGCAGCAGTGCAGGTACAGAATGGTTCTGAGCGTGACCCTGGGTACGGGAGGTGAAAGCTGAGTCACCTGGGTAAGGCAAACAGAGCTCAGACAAAGCCAGGCTGAAAGAACAGGGTGGTGTGGGCTGACTGGCACAGGTAACTCCCCCTTTTCCTGAAAGTTTTCCCAGGGCCTCAGAAGTGTGGTAACCACAGCAAGCTCTCCTCTTGCCCTTGCAGAGAACCCTCGGAAGGAAGCGGGTGCAGAAGCGTGGTGGCTCCTTCAAGGACCGTGAGTGCTCCTGGCCCCTCTGCCTCAGCCAAGCAAATCCCTGCTTGGCTTCCCTTCCCCCCTGTGCTGCTCCCTGCCCGTGGCCTGGGGCCATGGCTTTTGTCTCTGTTTCCCCGAAGCAACAGGAGCATTGCTGCCCTGCTTTCCCACTCCTGGGGCTGATCACGCTCCAGTTGCTGCCATGCTTGCAGATAGATGGTTCCCAGGGAAAATGGGAGAGCTGTGGGAGGCTGTTGGGAGCAGGAGCCGCTGGGTGATCCGTGCAGTGCAAAGTCCAGCCTCATCAGGGAGTTTCTGGCCCGGGCTCACTGGCACTTGTGGCTCGCAGCCAACAGGGCCGGGCGGCCGTGGTGGGAAGGAAGGGAAGCCGTGGGCTGGGAGAGGCTGCTGTGTTGACCTCGTGTCTTCTCCTCCGCAGAGCCCCGGCTGTATCAGGAGATCCGTGAGAGAGGTCTGAACTCTGTCAGCCATGAGTCAGACGAGGACTTGCTGGAGGAGTCCCTGCCAGAGGAGCCATCCTCTCTGGGCTCCACGATCATGGTGCAGAGCTACCGCCCGGCCCAGCTGACCTGGAGCCAGCTCCCAGAGGTAGGGGCAGCAGCTCGTGGGGTCTGAGAGCTGTGAGGGGATAATTCCATATCATTAGTCCTTGCACTGGGATGTTCTGGGTTGTCTGGGTTGTCCAGCCCTGGCTGGCACATGCAGGGTCTGCCCAGGGCTGTTGCTGCAGGTGCTGCTGCTGTGGTTTGGCTTCACCCACAGCTGCAGGGAAGGTGGGTGCTCCTTGCTGGGCTTCCCCTGGACTGTGGGGAGAGCAGTCTTCATCCAGGGAGCTGCTGGGGGCTGGGGGCCAGGTGATGCTGCAGGGGGGGTGATGCAGGAGTGACTGGTGATGGGCAGTGGTGGTGGTGAGTGGTGGTGTGGGGTGGGTTCTGATGGGTTGTGATGGCTTGTAATGGTATGTGATGGGTTGTGACAGTGTGTGGTGGGTTGTGACAGTGTGTGGTGGTGGGATGTGCAATGGGGCAGCTGACACAGCCCCAGACCGCACTAGAGGGCGTGCAAGGACCATTGTTCCTGCTCATCCACAGGTTCTGGAGTCGGGCATCCTGCAGAGGATCTCACCCGAGGAGCGCAAGCGGCAGGAGGTGAGAGAGGCCTGGGATATGCCTGGGAGTACAGCAGAAGCACCAAAGGCTGTGGGACACACGTGCCTCTGTCAGGGCTGGCTCCAGGTGGAGCTGGGCTTGGCTCAGCTCATGGTGCTGCTGCTTCCAGCTGCTCCAGGACTGGGCAGTGCTGGGAGGGCTCGCCTGCACAGATTGGTGGGGAAACAGGCAGCTCCGCTGGATGCTGATGGGAAGGGAAAACATCTTCATGGCTTTTTAACAACTGAATGTCCTAAAACACACTGGGATTATTGGTATTGGCCAGGCCATGCATGAGGTGACAGAAACCAACATGGAGGCAAGTCATTTCCAGTGGCTTTTTGCCAAGAGAGTATAAATAAGATTTAACAATTAATTTCCAGCTTTGTCAGTTTATGCTGTTGCATCTTCCCTTCTTTCTCCAGGCAATGTTTGAGATCATCACTTCTGAGTACTCCTACATGCACAGCCTGAGCATCCTGGTGGGCCACTTCATGAAGTCAGAGGAGCTGAAGGAGACCATGACTCAGACAGAGCACCACCACCTCTTCTCCAACATTGGGGACATCCTGACAGTCAGCACGAGGCACGTGGGGCCTGGGGCTGGAAGCAGGCAGGCCTGGGAGGGGACCCTGAGCTTTTATTTGTAGTGCTAAACCAACCATCCCTTGGATTGTTGAAGGTACTCGCGGGGAGGTGGGGAGGAAATGCCTTGGAAGCCAGTGCTGGGCGAGCTGTGTCCGTGTGGGAAAGCAGCAGCAGGAGGATGCAGCAGCCCTGGGAATGGCTGTGGGGGCGTTGAGGGGTTGTGGCTTCCCAATGGGGCAGAAACGAAACCTCATGGAGGGCTGAGGTGGAGGAGGGATCCCGTGCAGGAATGGAGGAAGTGTGTGCCTCTGGAGAAGGCGTGGGTGTCTCAGCTGCTGGAGCTGCCCTGCCAGAAGGGATCCAGGCTCCATCTCCTCTGGGAAAACTGGGGAGAAGCTGCAGTGGGAACATTCAGTTTGTCCAGCCCTAGTGAGTCATGTGGTGAGGTTGTTTTAATTCTCTCCTCAGCTTCTTTGAAGACTTGGAGAAGCGACACCAGGAGCACCTCCTGATCCCTGATATCAGTGACATCGTGGAGGAACACGCCTCAAAACACTTCAACCCCTACATCAGCTACTGCTCCAATGAAGTCTATCAGCAGAGGACACTGGATAAGCTGCTGTGAGTACAGGGCTTGTGCTGGCCATGGAATTTTCTCTGAGGGGCTCTGGGCTCCAGGGATTGCAGAGGTCACTAACACATAAGGACACAGATGGGCCTTGTTCATCTCCAGGCCAAGTCTGAGTCTGTTGTTGGTACACCTGTGGCTTTACCCACCTTTTGGAGGGCTCAACATCTCTCTGGGTGCTTTCCCACCACCTGCTGTGGGATCAGTCCCATTTCTTCCCAGCTGGGTACTCCGAGCCTGGCAGAGTGACAATGAGCACCCCAGGCAGCACCATCACTGCTCTGCATTTCCCATACGTGAAGAGCTGATGGAAAATCCTGACAACTGAAGAACAGAGTTAATGGAGCTTTCTTGTCCTGTTCCAGAACCACAAACCCCTTATTTAAAGAGACCCTGAAACAAATCGAAAGGAAACCAGAGTGTGGAGGCCTGCCAATGATCTCATTTCTCATTCTGCCCATGCAGAGGGTAACACGGCTTCCTCTGCTCTTAGATGTAAGTAGTCACACAGTGACACTGCTTGGACCCTCTGAAGAGGTGACTCTGCTATTCCCTTTGTTTGCTGAGCCCAGGACAGCTTCTGCTTGGTCTTCCAGCCCTCTGGAGCTGGGCCCTTGATGCTGAGCCTGGATGCTCCTGTATTCAGGAGAAGCATTTGGATAACTCTCAGGCACACATTGGATTCTTGGGGTGTCCTGTGCAGGGCCAGGAGATCCTAATGAGTCCCTTCCAACTCAGCATATTCTGTGATTCTGTGATTTTTATCCAGAGCAATCTGCTTCTCTGGGGGCTGTCTCAGGTGTGCAGCTTGAAGCTCTGTGAATAACACTTCATTTCTTGGTACCACCCATCTGGGCGACCTGAGCTTCTTCTCTGCCCTATCTGGGTCCCCGGGTGGGGTGGCACAAGTATCCTGATTGATGGGTGGTCAGGCAGCCATCCTGGAATGGAATGAAAAGCAGGTCTTGCATTCTTCATGGAAATCTGCTCTAAATGGCAAAGCTGCTGGATGTGGGATTTCCAGTAACTGCTCCCAATCTGTGGTGGGTTGCAGGGGTGAGGGCCAGGCACGTATCAGACATGAAACCCCAGATTCACGGCTCCCAGCACTGCTAAACCTTCCTTTGACCATTGGGAGCAGCTCAATCAACATGCAGCATCCTGAAATCCCGGGGCAGTGGCTGATGCTCCCTTCTCTGTGCTGCAACATCACTAAAACGTCTTATCTTGGAATTCCAGACCATCCAGCAAAAAACAAACGCAAGCACTGCAGCGTACGGAGCTGCCACCCGCGCTGTGAAGGCCATCAGCAAGGTGAGGCCCAGCTGCCAGCCCTCCACCTCTCCTCCTGCCAGCTCAGCCCTCAGGAGCACTGATCCAATGCTGCCATTCCAGCCTCTCATCTCCCTCCAAGCATCAGTTCACTTGAGGCTCCTCTGCTCCAAACAGCTGTCGGATGAACACTTCTTTCCCCTTCTCACCTTTGTCACCTGATCTTGGTTCGTTCCTTTTTCTTATCCTCTTTTCTTCTCTCCTCTTTGGCCCACCTTTGTCCTTCTTGAGACAACTCTCGCCGTTATTTTTGGGGATTTGGGCAAAGGGCAGTGAATGAAGCACAGAGGGAAGTGTGGAGTGCAGGAGTCACGAGCAGTGTCCATACTCCTGGATCTCATCTCCCTGTGTTTTCCCAGCCACTGGTCAGTCACAAGAGCCAAAGGGCCACAGAGACTGCGACCACCACCGTGCCAGTGGTGACTCTTCCTTTCATTCCCCTGAAGAGCAGCTCTTGGCAGCACATTCCTGCTGCTCCCAGTCTGTCCTGCTCTCACATCCAAACAGAGTCCTCCCTTCTGTATAATTGTCCACCCTCCTGCCTTGAGCTTTTCTCAGATGATTAATTCTTCCTCTTCCTGTTGCTCCTCAGTTTTGGTGCAGGTTCACTTGAGTCCTTCTCCAGGCAGATCCCATGTGCCATCTCTGTCCAGGAGAGCATCCCATTGTCTTTTCCCAAACCTGGCATGAAGCCTGTGCCAGGATTTGTCTGTCTCTCCTGCTCAGGGCAGCAGGACAGTCCCTAGTGCTGGGGGTGGTGTGGGAGATGGGTGGGCTCAGTGTCCGACCCTTCCCCGCTTCCCTTGGGATATTTTTCTCTTCCCAGCTGGTCAAGAGCTGCAATGATGGAGCTCGGGCTATGGAGAGGACAGAGCAGATGTACACCTTGCAGAAACAGCTGGAATTTGGGAAGAAGAAGGTGAGGTCTTGTGGAAGTGGTGGTGGGAAGTCTCCTGAGGCCTGTTTAGTCAGGTGCGAGCAATGCTGGGAATCTTTGTGGGAAGCCTGGACTGGGCTGTTGGATGCAGGAGTTTTTAAAGGATGTAGTAAAGCCATGGCAGTGTCACCCGCTGTTGGGGTCCAGGGTCTGGGTGTGCTGGAGCAGGGTGCATGGCTGCTCTGCCTTCCACCCGCCCCCTTTTTAAAAGACACTTAAACACACGTGGTGTGTCCATCCCAACTGAGCCCAGGGCCACTGCGGGTTCACTTCTTGCCTTGATTTTGCCTGCTGCTGGTGAGGGGGGCAGTAACTCAGGCTGTTCCTGGTGCTGTTCCAGCCCTTCCCGCTGATCTCGGTGTCCCGGTGGCTGCTGAAGCGGGGGGAGCTGCACCTGCTGCTCTCGGAGGAGGCCGGGATCTTCCGCCGCGGTGCCGGCCGCCTCTGCCACCTCTTCCTGTTCAATGACGTCCTGATCATCACCAAGAAGAAGAGGTGAGGCTGCAGGGAGGGCCCTGCCTTCCCCTGGATAACAGCTAGGGGATTAAACCCCAGTTTCCCGAGCAGCACGTACCAGAGAAATCTGTGAGATTCCTGTTTTCACCTGTTTGAGGTGACACCCTTGTCAGCCAGAAGAGAAGCGCCCAGTCCCATTGGTGGCTTTGCCTCGGTGGGTGGGTGGCCAGCAAGTCCCCAGAGCCATGTCCCACCCTGAGCATCACTCCAGGCTGCTCTGGAAATGCCTGCTGAGCCTCCTGTGCGAGGCTGGGATCTGGGAAGTGGCCCAGACCCCACAGCTGAGGCTCTGATCCCATCTGTGCCACAGCGAGGAGAGTTACACGGTCATGAACTACGCCACACTGGACCAGGTCACTGTGGAGAAGGTGGAGAGCTCAGATCCACCCTCCCCTCCTCCTGGCAAGGCCGGTGGGCACCTGCTCCGAGTGGTGCTGGAGAAGGACAGTGAGGGCCGGCGGGAAGAGGTGGTGCTGTCAGCAGAGACGCTGTGAGTGCTACACTGGGGTTTTGCTCTGGCTCCTGGGGTGAACTGGTGCCCTGAGAGTCTTCTGAGGCTTCTGCAAATCTCCCTTTACCCCCATGCTCCTTCTCCCAGAAATGGGGATGTGCACAGGCTTCTCTCAGGCTCTGTTCCTTCCTCTCTCTTACATTTCTCATATAATTCCCATATCAGCTTCCCCTGTCCAAGTGAAGTGAAGCAGCTGGGCCTTGTGTGCCACTTGGGAAGTGTCCTTACCTTGAATAGCCTGATCAAATGCTTGTCCAATTTGACTCCCCGGGAAAGCATTCATCCTGCTGGGAATGTCCCAGCTACTGCTGGCCACAGGGATGCTGTCCCAAGGCTTTCTTTGTGTTTTCCTCTGGCAGGAGTGACCGGGCCCGGTGGATCGCGGCGTTGATGCACAGGGAGAAGGAAAAGCCCGACACCACTCCCAAAGGAGGTACCGTGTGCCAGAGGGCAGCCTGGCTCTGCTGGCATTCCCTGTTACACTGGAGCATTTGCAAGCCCAGGTTTCTGCCTGGTTCTCCTCTATTCCTGCCAATGGAGAGGAAAACCCCACACCTTGCTCCTTAGGAGTTGCCTCCCAGGAAGTTATCAGTCACAATTAACTTTAAATACATTTCCTGGGAGGCACAGGAATTCCAGGAATGCTTTCAGCCCTTGTTAGAGGAGGTTTGACAAGCTTGGAGGGATAAGGGGCAGGGACAGGAGGGAATGGAGCATGCTGTGCTGTGGAGCACTGGGTGGGCAACTGGGGGGTCATGGCTGATCAAGGGGCTGTGCCTCACTGTCCCTGCTGTCCCCTGTCCTGCAGACCTGAGCCAGGTGGAGATCACCCGTGCCTACCTGGCCAAGGAGGCGGACGAGCTGTCCCTGCAGCAGGCAGACGTAGTCCTGGTGCTGGGGGGAGAGGATGGTGAGTGCCAGCGAGCACGGGGCTGGGGCAGGGGCAGGGGGAACTCTCAGTGATCCCCGGGGATTTTAGTAATTGCAGAAGCTTCCAGGAAGCCCTGGCTGCTGATGAGACTCATGGCACTCACTGGCTGGTGCTGTGTCTCAGCAGGTGACAGTGGGTCCTGGGGGGCTGAGGGAGGTGGCACTGCCATGGGCAGCCGTTGTGTTCCTTGGGGTGGCTCCTGTGTGCGGGCTGTGCCCGGCACCAGCAGCAGAGGCCTCAGAAGTGAGAGAAAAAAATCCCCCCCAGAACAGGCAGTAAATCAGAAACCTCCTCCCCTGCCATCCCCGGATGCCTCTAACCAGCACCTCCAAGGGAGGGGAGTGGTGCATCCACAGGATCCATGGCCCTTCCTGGCCCTGTCACCTGCTCTGTTCTCTCCCAGGCTGGTGCTGGGGGGAGCGGCTGCGGGACGGGGAGCGGGGCTGGTTCCCCCAGGCCTGTGCCCGGCCCATCACGAGCCGCGTGGCCGCGGAGGGCAACGTGCGGCGCATGGAGCGGCTGCGCATCGAGACCGACGTGTAGGGACAGCCCCGAGGGACCCTCTGCCTCAGGGAGCTCCAGACCTCTGCAGACTGAGCCCATGAGGAGGCAGCAGCAGAGCCTTTCTTCCTGAGCTGTGCTTGTCTCGGGTGGCAGATCCCATCGGCCAGGACAGGTCCGTGTGGCAGCTGGGGCACAGCAGCTGCTGCAGTGAGAGCTGGCGCCGGGCACTCCTGGCAGCGCTGGCACCGGTGACCTGGAACAGGCTCCGGGAGCAGCCGAGGGCTTGGCTCAGGTTGGAAAGGCTGGAGCTGTTCTGGGCTCTGAGGTGCCCGTGCCACCGTCTCCGTCCCCGCTGGCAGCTGGGCCAGCACCTGCTGCACACTTGGTGTGGGGAGAGCACACCCCACTCAGGGATTGTTAGGAGCTGAAATCTGGGTGCTTGGCTTATTCCTCAACCCAGTTTTTGCTCCTGTTTCTTTTTTCTGGCCCTCTCCCCAACAATAATTCTTGTGCCCTTCAGGCAGAGCCGTGCCCTGCACAGGTGAGGTGATGCCAGACACCTTTCAGTCCCTTGATAAAATATTTGATGCCAGAGTTGTTCCCATGGACTCAGCTCTGGGGCCAGGAAGGAGATATGCTCCAGGCAGAGGGGGAAGCAGGGGCAGGATGAGGATGCTGCAGCTCCCACCTGCCTTTCCCTCCTCCCAGCCTGGGGAGGGTGTTCTGCCCAGGGCTCATCCCTTCACACCTCGTGCAGGGGATGTGGCAGCTACAATTTTGGGGTGAGCCAGCCCCATACACTGCCAGCTTCACATTCACAGGGGCAGCGTTGATGTCTGTTCTGATCAAACTGTTAAATTGTAAATTAAGGTAACAATAAATTCTTGGATACCAATGAACCATGTGTTCTCTGTTAGTGGTGAGTGTCCCTGAGCATGACAGCTCCAGGGAGCCAGGTTGTCCCAACTGTGAGCCCTAAAAAGAAGCTTCATTCTGCTGGTGGCATTGCTGTGGCCTCTGCATGTTCTCACAAAACACGTGCACCTCGTTAAACACCCTCCAGAGCCCCTGCCAGCCTGCTGCCACCTGGAGCAGCTGTCAGGTGCATTTGACTGAGACAGACAAGTTAAGTAAAAACTCAGCCAGGCTTTCTGTTTATTTCTTTTAGCTGTGGAGAAAGTAACATTTTTCATCAGTGCTAAATTAAAGAAGATCCATAAAGAGAGGCAGTACAAGAAAAGAGGAAGCAAACAAACTGGATTAAGAAATATGAACAAGAAAAGAACTATATATAAAAATACAGGTAGAGGGCTGCTGCAGTCCCACGCTCAGACACGTGGTTTGCTCCGAGCAGCTGCCAGGAGTCACGGAGCTGCAGCTGGAATGGGACAGGATGGATCCATCCCCAGGTTTAAGGCTATTTCCATGTTCTCCTGGAGCAGGGCCATTGAGGCAGGGCATCTCCACCAGCCTCCTCCTCCTCCTCCTGTGCTGCTCCCAGTTGCTGGAACCTCCCTCCAAGGCTCCAGGAGCTTCAAGACAAAGGGGAGCTGAGGGAGGATTGTCTGGAGAATTGGCAGCACCACTGGCAGCACTGACTGGGGTCATTTGGCACATGGATAAAATCTTTCTGCTCCCTGTTTACCCAACATCCAACCTCAACAACACAATTTTGGTCCTTCACTACATACTTACATTAACATGATTTCTTCACAAGAATGATATCTAACATAATAAGAAAATACTGTTAAGGAAGAAATAAAATAAGAAAGGAATTAGCCCAAAATGCCAAGTTATATACAGATCAAAATAAATTCCATCAGGAAAGGAATTATTATTTTCAGTTGGCCCCTGTGGGAATAATTTAAAGGCCAAGCACCTGGGCAGGGCTGTGCTGCAGTGGAGGGGATGGGGATGGGGATGGGGATGGAGCTGTCCCTCTTCTCTGCAGAGCTGGGGTTCCTCTGGCAGTGGCTTCACCTGCCCAGGAGCTTTGTGCAAACAGTCAAAGGGGCCCGGGGCCCTGGCCAGGTGATATGGTGACATTGGAGTGGTGACATTCCCTGCTGCTGCAGATGGCCAGCTGCTGTCTCTGACTGGAATGGCAAAATAACAGGATTCAAGGCTGGGTGAGATCATTCCAACTGAGATCTGCATTGACCAGATGTGCGAGCACTTTGTCTCCATCCGCACAGTATCTCTGATTGCCACACTTGATTTGGGCTTCCTTCTTCTTGGAGTGAGTGACAGGGCAGCACCATAGACTGACAAACTCCTGGCATGAAGAACAGGCTCCAGGTCCCTCCCAAGCTTGTCCAGCACAGCCTGTTCTGTTGGCAAGGAGGCAGCAGCTCTGCAGGTGAGTGCTGGAGCCCTCACATGTTTTCCCCTGGCAAATGGTCATTTACAGTAAAACACCACAGAAAGTTCAAATTTAAAAAAAAAGAAAATTCAAGTGAGGTGGTTCATCCACAGGAGGCCCAGTCTCAGGAGAGCCGGGCACTGTGAGCCATCAGTCCTGACAATGCTGTGGTGCAGCTTCCCATAAATATTGATGCATAAATACCTGATTTGGACCACAATTTCAGCCCCCTCCCCAAGCCCAGCACCCAAAAGTTGAAGGCCAGCAATGTGTCACAAGCTGTCAAAGTCCACTGTCCCCTGACCAGAACTGATCCCTTCTGAACTGGTCACCTGGTCTCTGGCCAAAGGCACGCACTGGTGTGGGCACACGTGTCCTCACGGCCAGCCCGCGCTGGCACAGTGAACTGGTTATACTGGGCACTTCAGCCTCACTCAGACCACCCCAAAAGCAGCAGCTGGGGCTGTTAGGAGACAAGAGCTGCTCATGTGGCTCATAAATGAGTTCATTACAGGTCATTGGCTTCTTTAGGTGGCTGCTTGGTTGAACCAAGGGAGTGCTCCCAGAGCAGGACCTACTTCTCTGCCGGCCAGAGCCCCCCCGGGGGTGGTGGTGGCCTGGTGGGAGGCAGGGATGGCGTGGCTGGAAGGGAAAGACAGGACAGGTCAGTCCTTGCTGTCTACAGCCCTGCTGCAGGGCTGTATCCTCCACATGGCTGCCCTGCCTGGGGGCACATCCTCCTCCCCACTCCCCTCCCCACTGGGAGCTGGGAACACTGGTCCCTGTCTGTCGGTTTGGGTCAGACCCTCCTGCCCAGCACCCACAGGGGTCACTCTGAGCCAACAGGTTCAGTGATGGTTTGGGCAGAGGTGAGGAGTTTGGGGCTTTCCACTGCGGTTGGTGCACGGGATCTTTGTTCCAGCAAGCTCATTAGAGAGTGGGATGTGCCCTGGCTTTTCCAGGGGCACATTTGGGGTCAGGCTGCTAAACAGCTTTGTTTCCGAGACTTTAGAAACCTCCCTCATGGCTGCAGCAACAGCAAACAGATCAGACCAACCGAGGGGCTTGGGAAGAGGCAGGTGCTACGTAAGTGACCAGACTGAGCCGATTTACTGCTCCCAAACCCAACCCCGGGGCAGGACCCACAGCTTGAGCACAGGTACAGCCTCCCCTCGGGTTCTGTTGCCCCGGGATACCCCACCAGCAGCATTGGCTGCACCTGTCCCTTCCCTGCCCTCACCTTCCCGGCAGGTGGGTCCCGTGTGGCCGTTCAGGCAGAGGCACTGCCCGTTCCTGGCGTTGCAGTAGGAGCTGCCGGGGGCACACTGGCAGGGCAGGCGGCAGTCGGGGCCGAACTGCGTGGGCCGGCAGTCTGTGGAGGGCACAGAGCTGCTCAGGCTGCTGTTGCCTGTGGCAGCAGCCGAGCAGGAATGCTCAGAGTTTTCCCGGGATGCTGCAGGCAGAGCAGCTGGGTGCTGGGTGCAGGATAAGGTACAGAGAGTTTTGCTGTGGTGACACAGGACATCAGAGCATCCCCAGACCACCAGGACTTCCCTTCAGTCTTTGGTCCTCAGCTTTTTGACCGTGTCAATCTGAACACACGGGCTCTAGAGGCTGGGGGAGAATTTCCGATCAGATCTGACTAGGAGCAGGGTCCAGAGAGGCGAGTGCGGCTGCCCCTCTCTCTCTAGGAAGTGCCTCACACCAGAAGAAAGCCCCTTCCAGCTTCCTGGGATCAAAACCCCCGTCACACAGCCTTCTTCCTCCCCTGCCCAGCTGGGGCTCAGCTCACCTACAGCACACGTGGGGCCGGTTTTGCCCGGAGGGCACAGGCAGCGCCCCGTGGTCGGGTCGCAGGGGACATCGCTGGGGCAGTCACAGAGCCGCTGGCACCCCTCGCCGTACGTCCCTTCCTTGCAGCCTGTGTGAGACACGGAATACAGCCCTGCCCTGCGTGCCCGTCCCTCGGGATCCCCGGGAAGGGCGAGGAGGACGGGCGGTACCTGTGTGACAGCGCTCGCCCCGCAGCCCAGGGGGACAGCGGCAGCGCCCGGTGGCGGGGTCACAGCCAGCCCCGTGCTCGCAGTCACAGCGCTCCCGACAGCCCTCTCCATGGAAACCCGGGGGACAGCCTGGCACGGGAAAAGCTCATTAGAGCACGGGTGGGTGGAACTGTGCAGCAGAGCCTCGGCCAGCCCAGCAGGGAGAAGCAGAGAGCCTTTCTGCCCGGCGGATGCCCAGGCGCTCCAAGGGCCGGTCGCAGAGCCCCGCGTTCAGCTGCCCGGCGTTTGCTCGGTCCCCAACACCTCCGGGCAGCGGGGACGTGTGTGCCATGGGAGGGAACCGCTGCGGGGACCAGAAATCGCCTCTCTGCCGCTGCTGCCTGGGAAGGGCTCGCTGGGAAACCCTCGGGAAAGGGAGAGCCCCGCGGTCCTGCTCTCCGGACGAGCTTTAGAGACGCCCCCATGCCCCCAGGCGAGGCTGTCCCCGCCGCCAGCACTCACTGTGTTCGCACAGGGGCCCGTAGTGGCCGGCGGGACAGCGGCAGGTCCCCGTGGCCGGGTGGCAGGTGGCGTTGTGCAGGCAGGAGCAGCGCAGCTGGCAGGCGGCACCGAACCTTCCCGGAGGGCATTCTGCGGGAGAGAGGGAGCTGCAGAGCTGCTCAGCAGCCCCACACCGGCGCTTCAGAGGGCTGCGCCCGGCCAGGGCTGGCACGAGTGGGATGCAGCAGCTGGAGCCGGGATGTGAGCTCCACAGTCACCGGCTCGGTGCGGGACAGCCCACGCGGACCGGAGTTACCTAATTCGCAGGATTTCCCCGTCCACCCCGGTGCACACGAGCAGGAGCCATCGGCCGGGTCACAGAGGCCCCCGTTGCGGCAGGAGCAGGGCTGCTGGCAGCCCAGCCCGTAGCGGTGCTTCTCACAACCTGCGGGGCCAGAGGCATTGGCGGTGGGCACAGCGACCGCGAGCTGAGAGCAAGGAAATCAGCTCCAGCACCTTTCCCAACGCGCTGCCCCACAGTCCTGATGCACGGCCCCACGGCCCACACTTGCCTTGCTCACAGGTGGGGCCAGCTCTGCCGGGAGGGCACACACAGTCTCCGGTGACAGGGTGACAGGGAGCACCGGCCCCACAGGGGCACAGCCCTGCACAGTCCTGGCCGTAGCGGCCAGCGGGGCATCCTGGAGGGAGGAAAACCTCGGTCAGGCCGGAGCAGGGCTGGGGAGGTGGGAGGTGGGAGAGGGAAAGTTTTGCACAGCACTGGAGCTGAGCGATGGGAGGCAGAAAGAGCCTCCAGCCCTGCCCTGCTGTGCCACAGAATCACAGGATGGTTTGGGTTGGAAGAAACCTTAAAGGTTATCCGTTTCCAATCCCTCTGCCGTGGGCAGGGACACCTCCAGCTAAACCAGGTTGCTCCAAGCCCTGCCCAGCCGTGGCTGTACAGCAACACAGCGAGGGCACGGTGACAGGAGAAATCTCTTTATCGTAAAATAAACAGAGCAGAAAAACGTTTCCGTGGCTAAGGCAGACAGCAAACACGGTCATCTGCAGGCTCATTCCCTGGGACACAGCAGGAGGGCACTGCTACCAGGCCAGGTGGACAAAGGACACAAGGAGCTCTCCTCAGGAGTCAGTCCTTGGTCTGCTGCTCATCGCCCACAGGGTCAGCAGCCTTTCTGTGGGCAGGGTCTGCATCTCCCACCCCTCACATGCCCCTGAGGAGGCTCCCCTGCTTTCCCAGCCCCTGTGGCTGAAGCGGTGCTCACCAATGCCGCAGTCAGCGCCGATGAAGCCCGGCGGGCAGTGGCACATCCCCGTGGCAGTGTCACAGCGGCCCCCGTTCTTGCACTGGCACGGCCTCTCGCAGTCACGGCCGTACCACCCCGGGGAGCACTCTGAGGGGACAACAAACAAAGCTTCAGTGTCTAAAAATATGAGAACAAGGTCCAGACATCCTGGGAAAACCCACCAGGTGGATTTGCATGGATGTTTCACCAGGGAGGAGGCAGAGAGCTCTGGTAGGAGCAGTCTGTGCCAGGCTGGCACCATCGGTGGGGTTCTGATCCATTCTGTCACACAGAGCAGCCCCACAGCACCCAGAATTCAACACACACACATCCCTCATGGCACCAGGGTTCCAAGAGGGGACAGCCTGCAAAGGCGACACAGTGGCACCAGAGCAGGACTCACCCAGCTGGCAGGCGGGGCCGTGGAAGCCAGGGGGGCAGACACAGGCCCCGGTGACAGGGTGACACTCCTGGGTGGCTCCGGAACACTGGCAGATCTGAGCACAGCCCTCCCCGAAGGTCCCTGGCAGGCAGGCTGTGAGGAGACAGGGCACCAAGGTGGCTCAGGAGCCATCCCACCCCTCTCTGCAAGGCTTTTTTTTTTTTAATATTTTATTTTAAGCCAGGATTTGGAGAGCCATTTATGGCAGTAAAATTCTCCGCCACCCAAAAAAGCAAAGAGACTCTCATGCAAAACGTTCCTTCACTCCAGGAAATAATTGGATTGAAAGGAAAGGCAAGTACATAAAGGCATTAAATGCTTTTCCTGTGCCAGCCCTACCTGCCCTCACATTTCTGCAAGCTCCTCACACACACGTGGCAAACCCAGCACTGTCCTCTGCATAAGGAATGTGCTCACACACCTCTGTCTCTTCCAGACTTGCTCATACCCACAGGAGCTCATTTTAATAGTGATTTATTGCTAATCCTCTGGATAAATACCCAGCTCTGATTTCCCACTTGGCTCCCTCTGCCCTGCTAACATTCCGCAGGCATGCACCCAGCTGCCAGAGTGGGAGTTGGTCCTTGGCACAGTTCTGCTCTTGGGCTGTTTTTCCTTGTTTATATTTTTTTTTCCCCCCCTTCTATTTTCTGTAGGAATTGCTTGACCAATGACGTTCCCAGAGACTGTCAGCAGAGCTGTATCTTTCATGGATCATTCCCATCTCCATACGTTTTTCACATCCAGAGCCAGTCAGTCCTGGCGGGCAGCCGCACTGGCCGGTGACATGGTGGCAGGGCACTCCCAGGGGACAGGCACAGCGACTGGCACAGTTCTTCCCAAAGAAACCTGGCAGGCAGGCTGTGGGAAAACAAACAGCGGCATGTGAGACTCCTGCCTGGATTTTAAGTTGTTGCTAGTGCCTGGAAGGCATCAGAACCCAAGGGGCTCCTGCCCCAGTGATGAGCCAGCCCAGCAGCATCTTGTGTCACAGCCTCAAAATACTTTGCCACAACTTGTAATTCTCATTAAAAATTAAGTTTTCCTCTTCCCAGACTCTGGAACATTCAATGTTTCCCTGAGTTTCCCTTACCCAGGGGTTCCTCACCTTTCTCACAGCGCTGGCCCCTCCAGCCATGGGGGCAGTCACAAGCACCAGTGACATGGTGGCACGAGACGTTGTCCCCACAGTCACAGAGCTCCTCACAGAGTGCCCCAAACAGCCCCTCCGGACAAGCTTCAGGGATGAAAACACAGCAGAAAGGACAAGTTGCACAAAAGAAGTGACTTTTTGGGGCTTTTTCAAATTTTTTTGTCTCTTGTGCACACAGGCAACTTGAAATACAGCCATGGGGAGCTGACAGGACCCTAGCTTGGTCCTTTTTTAAAGAAACAACATAATGTCTACCTTCTGGGTGGGTTTCTTCATTAATTTATACTGAAAGAAATTATAGAAGTGCTTAAGACTGCCTGGTGCTGGGTGCTGCTGAGGCTGTGGGGGGTTCTGGGAGCATGGGACAATGCTGGGAGGGGACACCGTCCCTCAGGATGTGTGAGGTGATTTGTGTGGCCAAGCTTCAGCTACCAGCAGAGCTGTTTACAGCCTCCTGGAGGGAAAAACATTCCCAGCAGGAAATCTGAGAGTGGCTGGTGGCAGCTGAGGCTCTGATGGCACCTCCCTTGTGCCAGAAGTCAGCTGGCAAGTGCTGGACTTAACACCCTGATTGAAGGAGGTGCCAAGCTGAGGTGTCATGAACCCAGAAGGGAAGAAGTTTGTGGATCTCTGCTTGGTGTGCTGAGAGGTGATGAGATCCCTGTCACTGCTCTGAAGGCCAAGAGCCATTTCAAACCCTTCCCTCCAGGGAAGGAGATTGCCAGGGTGTGGGACACATCTAAGGATACAGCAGACGTGGAGTCACCAAGGGACAGCTACCATGGGGCTTGGGACAGCTCTGAGGGTCAGTGTGATACAAGGAGACAGAGAAGGAAGACTGGAAAAGGGATGATCCACTGTTACCCTTAAAATAATCGTGGCAGAGGGAGGTCCTCCCTTGGCATTTTGGTTTCACCATGCAGGGCTGCTGCCCTGCCTTCATCCCTGCTTGGAGCCTGTGGTTTTGCACTGATGCCTGGGGGTCTGTGTCTTTGGGAATCCCACCTCCCTCCCACCAGCACTGCCACAGGCTGCTCTGGATGTGCACCAGCACAGCCCTCAGACGACAGGAACCAGGTGGGGCTGGAACTGGATGATCTTTAAGGTCCCTTCCCACCCAAACTCCTCTGTGATTCAATGGAAGGAGAAAGTGAAGCAGTGGGCAGAACTGGGGCACAGCCAAAACCACGGCACTTCCAGCTCCCTGCTTGCTGAAATCTGAATTTAATGTCTTTCCTTAAGCCCTCAGACCCTCCCTGTGCAGCAGCTGCTGCTGCCAGAGCCATCGATGCCCAGAGCCGCCCCCACATGCAGCACTTACGTCTCTCGCACTTGTCGCCGGTCCAGCCGGGCTGGCAGAGGCAGTGCCCGGTCCGGCGCTCACACAGCCCCCCGTGCTGGCACTCACAGCGCTGCTGGCAGTCCAGGCCATGCTGCCCCTGGGCACAGGCTGGCAGGGGCACAGGGTGAGTTGCTGTCCTGGCACCCACCCTCCCAGCTCCCACCGCCCCACACAAGCACAGGAAGGACCTTGAACCCCAACCACTTCCACGCCACCTCCAACCTCCACTAGAAAATCATTGCAAACCAGGATCTGTTTGCCCCTGAGCCGTTTCCCTGGCTGCTTCCTCACCCAGCTCGCAGGCCAGCCCTGTCCAGCCTGCAGGGCAAGCACAGGCCCCCATGGCCGGGTCACAGGTGCCACCGTTCTGGCAGAGGCAGCGCTGCTGGCAGTTCTTCCCGTAAAAACCCTCCGGGCAGGCTGAGGGAGAAACAGGACAAACATCCCAGTCAGGACACAGCTCTGGAGGCTTGTGACATGCTGCCAGAGCCACGGGTGGATGGTCTGATACAGAGCAACACTGATTTTGATGCAAGAGGAGCTAATGACACCCCTAAGGCTGCTCAGCTGCCCACAGAACAACTTTTGGTATTTCACCAAATGGCAGCAGCAGCACTCCACCCACCACGAGGAATGGCATTCCTTCCCGTGCTGGCAGGGGAAGCAGGCTGGGCTGGGAAGTGTTACCTTGCTGGCACGAGGGTCCCGTCCACCCCTCTGAGCAGAGGCAGCGGCCGCTGACGTGGCTGCAGGTGGCATTGTTGAAGCAGTGGCAGGTCTGGCTGCAGTTCTGGCCGTACCTGTTCTCCTGGCATGCTGCAGGGGAGCAGAGCAGGCAGCAATGGTGGGCAGTGGGTGGGAATTACAGCAGTCAGGCTCCTACCAAGCCTCCCAAGGGCTGGGAGAGGATCTGTCAGTGGGGGTTGGCTGCTGTGTGAGGGGTTTTGTGGTGTTACAGGGAAATAATGTGTCCTACAGGCCTGACATCCAAACACAGACACTGCTACCGTCAGTGTTACATCCTTTATCTATCTGGAAGCAGTTTTGCTGGATGCCCAAGCTCTCATTGCATCCAACCACAACCTGCTCAGGCAGAGCCCCCCAGTCTGAACCCAAATTAAATTCCACACAGAGAAAATGGTGAATGGGGAACTGACAACTCAGACCTCCGGTTCTTATGACCGGGCAGCAGAGACAGCCCTGGCTCTAGAGTGCCCATGGAGGGCAGGGTGGGCACCTCCCACAGACGCCTACCCTGGGCACCGACACCTACCCTGGGCACAGCGAGGGCCAGTCCAGCCCGGGGGACACTGGCACTGTCCTGTCACAGGGTCACAGTGAGCACCATTCAGGCAGTCACAGGCTTGTTGGCACTCCAGTCCATAAAATCCATCAGGGCAGGCTGTGGAAAACAAAGGAGAAATCCACACAAAATGCAGAGCTGGGGACCTCCCAGTGGGAAAAGGTGCCTGCCCCTTGGTGTCCTTTGTGGCCGGTGTGAGGTGGCACCAGTGTGACAGCAACTGCTAAAGGCAGCAGATATTGGATGTGAGCCCAGTATGGACATTCCAGGTGCAGGAGAGGGAAGTGGTGGATCAGAGAGTGACAGCTTGAGGTTCCTGACCACAGAGAGGCTGCTGGGGGAGCTGGATCCCTGCATCCAGGGACCCCTCCAAGAGGCTTCTCCAAGACCCTGTGTGCAACATGTGCACACTTGGGTGACCACGGCAGCTGTGCAACCACTGGGTCACCCATTATTTACATTTTCATAGTCTTTTTTTTTCCCCTAGACCTTTTCCCTCCAGAGGCAGCAGTTTGCAGACTTGTTGTTCCCCCCCATGACCATCCTGAGGAATTCTCTTTGCAGTAATGGGATAACAAAGTCAGACAGGAACACAGACCCTCTGGGATGGAGCCCTGGTCCCCAGGGTCAGGTACTCACCGTGCTCACAGAAGGTTCCTCGCCAGCCTGGGCTGCAGGTACAGGCCCCGCTGACGTGATCACAGGTGGCTCCATTGTCACACTGACACTGGTGCCGACAGCTCAGCCCAAACCACCCTTCTGGGCACTCTGAAAGAGATGAGACTGAGGAGTCTGTCCTTTCCTGGGTCCCAGAGAAGCTATCCTAAGGCAGGGGCTTGGATTCTGAATGGAATAAAAATGTCTGGCAGCTGTTTTTTTTATAACAACCGGTGGGTTCTAACCTGCCCCTAACAGGTGTGAACCCACATCACCCAGCCACCCTGGGCACAGCATCAGCATCACAGCCAGGGCAGGGGACTGGGCTGGAGCAATGCCTTTCCCTGGAACACCTGAGGCCCTGGCTGGGTGTGAAGGCAGGGCAGGGCAGGGCAGGGCAGGGCAGGGCAGGGCAGGGCAAGGCAGGGCAGGGCAGCACTCACTCTGCTCGCAGCGGGGGCCCGTGTACCCGGCCTCGCACAGGCACTGCCCGGTCTCAGCGCTGCAGCTGCCGTCGCTGTTGCTGCAGTTGCAGGTGTGGGCACAGTCGGGGCCCCAGTGCCCCAGGTCACAGGCTGGAAAAACACAGCAGGTGTTGTACACATCACTGGTGTGTACCTGAGAGCATGGCGTGGGCACAGCGCTGCCTTTTCCACTGGGCACAACATGCCTTGGGCGCAGGGACAAACACGGCTGCACAGAGGCCAGTGGCACTGCCAGCACCGCACAGACAGAGTGAAGGAACCAAAGGGATTTCTGAGAGATTTCCCTGGCAGAGGCACAGCACGAAGATGAGAATGGAGCGACGGCAGCATAGCTTGGCACAGGTCAGAGTGGCCCAGGAGCACAGGAGCCGTACCTCGCTGGCAGTGGTGCCCCGTCCAGCCGGGCGGGCAGCTGCACGTCCCCGTCACCGGATGGCAATGCCCCTCGTTCCCACAGCTGCAGCTCAGCTGGCAGGCAGGGCCGAACCAGCCGGGTGGACATACTGCCAAGGGAAACAGGGAGGGAATGCAGGTGGCTGTTGGAACCCTGGCCCTCAGAGAAGCCGCTGGGTACCGTGGTGCATCGGCAGAGCCGCGAGCACTGACACAGCTCTGACACCCCGAGTGCAGGTGCTGAATGGGACGAGGGGCTCAGCATTTTGCCTCCCTTTCTCCTGCTGCAGAAGTTTCCCCAGTGGAGATGGGGCTAGTGGGACTTTGTAGTGCCCAGCCTGCACCCCAATGAGTGAGGAAACAGAGATGTGCACAGTGCTCAGCCTGCCCTGCTGCACGTGGCAGTGTCTGGTCAGTCACTGGATGCTCCACTTGCTGCAGCAGATGCTACAGCTGAGCTGAAATAGCCCCATTCCAGCTGGAGATGGACATCCCAGCTGAGGGACCCACCCCAGCCTGCACTCACCATCCTGGCAGCGCTGGCCGGTGTAGCCGGGCTGGCACAGACAGGCTCCAGTGGCAGGGTCACAGCTGGCATTGTTGGCACAGTCAGGGCAGATCTCCTGGCAGCCCAGTCCCCAGAGACCCTCAGGGCAAGCTGGAGAGTGAGCAGACAGAGAACACACGGCACCGGGATCAGAGCCGAGGTGGCAGAGGGAAATGTCTGACCTTTGGGGTTCCCTCTGGCCCTCCCTGCTGTGCTCATGCAAGACGTGGACTTTTGTTCACAGCACGTGGCTGCCAGAGAGCACAGCACGGCTGTGCCTGTTCCACAGGCAGCGTGCAAGCCCTCTCTAAGTGCTATTCTGAGCTCACTCCAGGATTTTCATGCCAATTTTGGATTTGCATCCACTGGCGGGGAGCTCCAAGGGCTCCTCAGTGGGAAATGCTGCTGCTGGCACAGGGACTCTGTAGCTGCCGTCACACCATGGACAACACATCAGTCACTGCTCCAGAACCCCCTGGGAGTTGTAGAGGAGGAGCAAAAGGCTAAAACTGCTAAAACCAGGGAAAAAATCCTTCTCCAACTGGTCCTAAGCTGCTCCAGGGCATGGAAAAAAGGCAGCTTGAAATGTATGGTAAGCCCTGTGCGCACATAGTTTCATTGCTCAGCTAAACTCTTAGGAGCAGGACATCTCTATATGACTAATACCTTCCAGCTGCTGCAATACTGCAGAATCATGCAAAAACTTTCAATTTTAGACTCTCTAGTTTTCCAGCAGTTAAAGAGTAATCTGGTGAAGGCAATTAAAAACATGCATCAATAAAGGAAGGTTCCTCTCCTACATTGAGGACTGTGACAACCAAAAACATCTTCATCTTTTTCATCGTGTTGTTTAAGACTCACCAACAAAAGCTGTGATTTTTTCTAATTTCCCACTAAGATGATTCTAACTGCACTCAAGGTTTATAAAATGAATTTTAGTAAAAGAAAAGTAATAGGTCTACACCTAAATCCCTCCCTCTACAGCAAAATCCCTGAGTGCTTGCTCTGCTGCCTGTGCTCACCTTGGGCACAGCCATGCCCTGTCCGGCCGGGTGGGCAGTGGCACTGCCCTGTGCTCCTGTCACAGGATGCTTCTCCACAGGCACAGGGATGCCGACAGCTTGGCCCAAATGTCCCCTCAGGGCACTCTGTGGAAGAACAGCCAGGTCAGAACTTCCCCCCACAAGTTGCCCAAGAGCATTTTCCCAAGCTGGCCCCGCAGGCTAAAGGAGCCTCTGGGTGTGTGGGGAATAGCCCAGCTGTGAGAGGTTCCCACCTGTGCTCATGCTTTAATGGGCTTGGTGGTGTTTGCTCAAAGGTTGGACTTGGTGATCTTGAAGGTCTTTTCCAACACTAATGATTCTGTGAGCCTGGGTGTGACCACTCTGAGCCACACTGGCCACCCCCAGCATTGCCTTACTCTGTCTGCCTGACACTTCTCTCTTGTTGTGTGTCCTTTCAAGTATTTCTTCATGCAGAAGTGACCACTCACATCCCCAAAAGCTGAGGCCAAACTGGTCTCCAGTCTTTGGACAAGGACTCTGCCCAAGCCACCCTGCTGTCTCTGGGCTGGGGTGCAGAACACCGGGGTCACAGCCCCACACCAAACCAACCCTTGGCTTTTCCAAGATGCTGTGAGGGGTTTTACCTCCCTGCCTGAATGCCTCTGGGATCTGAGCACAGGATTTTAAGAAGCAGACAGGTTTGCAGTAGGACACAGATGGAAAGCAGGAAAAAGGCAATCCTCCTCCACAGAAGGGATAAATGCTTTTCCTTCCCTCTGCTCTGGATGCCAGCATGGTTCTGCTGATCCCAGCTCAGCTTGATCTTTGTATCCACTGCCACAATTTAGCAACCAGCTGGTGACATGCAAAGTGAGGGCCTCAGACCAAAGATCCTTAAATCCTCTCTGAGTCCCCCCACAAGAGCTCCATGCTCACCAAAGCCAAGGTTCTGTAAAGCTTCAGCAGAGGCGAACACACCGGCACTGACAAACTGCGGAGGAAACGCAGCGCCTCGATTTCCAGTGACACAGTGGAGTTTTTGTTATTCCTCCTCTTTGCTAATTGATGGCAGATGTTTGTCTTCACCCTTTAATAATTTCCAGATCCAAACAACAGCCAAGAGCCTACTATTTCTATACAAATATTTGTGTTATTTCCTGTGACTCCCCCCTACAGCATTCAGCTCCTTTCTTACCCTTTTTAAAAATAACCCGAGCAGGAGCACCCAGCCTGACAAGGCTCCAGGGGCTCCAGGGGCAACAGCATCCCAGCACGGGGGCTCAGGGCTGGCAGACCCTGCCAGGGAGCACAGCCCTGCAGGAGCTGCTCCCATCTCTCCTGCCAGCACTATGGCAGTGCTTGCATTGGGATTTTTGCTGCTTTCTGCAGCTCTTGTTCAGACCAAGCCCTGTCAGAGATGGGGCTCTGCACCATGACCCTGTGCTGGCAGATCAATGAGGCTGATGATTTCAACTTCTGGGCTGGGGTGAGGCAGTTCTTGGCTAAACATCTGTTAGTGCAGAAACTCCCTGGATGCTCCAGTCCAAATCCAGATGCTGGCCACTTCCAACTTCTCCATGTAGTGTCTTCAGCTGCTGCAATCTGTCTTCAAGTGTCCAACCTTTTGCATTTTCTGCAGGACCCAACCAGCTGAAGTGGGTTCAGGAGGCCCCAGCCTCACAAGAGCAGGAGTGGGTTGCTCTGTGGTTGGCAGAACTTAATCTTTTCCAAGCACTGTGTTCATATTTTGTAATCATCACCTCGTGCCAATGACTCACTGTCTTTAGGTTCTCTCAAAGCACCTTTGTCTGCCCAAAGTGAAATTCTCTGGCACACAAACCACCCCAGGATCTTGAAATCTGCACCCTCAGAGCCTGAGTATTAGACACAGTTAGACATACACAGAGCTGGGCAGTTCAATCACCATCCCATCAACTGGCCCTTCATGGCAAGAGCACAAAACTGCTCTAGGAGGTTCATACAGAGGCAGAAGTTTGAATCCTAATGTAAATTAAATGTAAAATACTCATTTTCACTTGCAGATGAAACAGAGTTTCAGTAAGGAATGGAGAACAGAGTAGAAAATATGATACTGTTGTGCTATGCAGGGATTGCCTGGAAGGGAAAAGACGTCAAGACCAGGGAAAGATAATTAGATCCCAATCACCTCCATCTACCAACAGAGATGTCCAGTGGAAGGGTGAAGTGAGACCTTGTTCTTCTTTTCTGAATCAGGCTTGTTTTATACAAGGAATTCTCTCTCCCACTTTAAAGAGGCAGCAGCGTCTCAGAGACCTGTGGATGGCAGCTCCTGTGTCCCCTGAGGTCTCTACTGGCCACCCATCAGATCATCTGCAGTGGGCTGGGACTCTCAGGGGATCCTGGAAGTGCTTTTGTGTCATTTTGTGAAGCAAAATTGTGAGGACTGGTGAGTTTCCAGCACACACAGAGCTGCCCTGTATGGCACTGCCTTACCTTGGTCACAGTGCTCGCCGTGGTAGCCAGGGGGACACTCTTTGTGGCACTCCCCAGTGACAGGGTCACAGGGCACTCCTGGAAGGCAGCTACACCTCTTCTTGCAGCCATCCCCGTAATACCCAGGGTCACAGCCTGTGAGCAACCATAATTAGAGAGAAAGAAGCTCTGAAATTACTCGCACGGTGTGCTCCTGAGTGAGAAAGAGGTGAGACAGTCTGGGAGGCTGGAAAGCAAGCAGAGCTTTCCCTTGAGAAAATTAATGGGGAAAAGAGGTCATGGGAGGAGAAAGCTCTGAGGGTGCTTCATGGGAACAGAATGACACCAGATGACACCAAGCTGGGTGCGAATATGGAGCTGCTGAAGGGTGGGGGGGCTCTGCAGAGGGACATGGACAGGCTGGATAGATGGGACAAATCCAGGGATATGAGGTTTAACAAGACCAAGTGCTGGGTCCTGCACTTTGGCCACAACAGCCCCTGCAGTGCTACAGGCTGGGGACAGAGTGGCTGGACAGTGGCCAGGCAGAAAGGGAGCTGGGGCACTGATGGACAGCAGGCTGGGCATGAGCCAGCAGTGTCCATGTGGCCAAGACAGCCAATGGCTCCTGGCCTGGATCAGGAACAGTGTGGCCAGCAGGAGCAGGGCAGGGATTCTTCCCCTGTGCTCAGCACTGGTGAGGCCACACCTCGAGTGCTGTGTCCAGTTCTGGGCCCCCAATTTAGGAAGAACATGGAGGGGCTGGAGTGTGTCCAGAGAATGGCAGCAAGGCTGGTGAGGGGTCTGGAGCACAAGTCCTGTGAGGAGCGGCTGAGGGAGCTGGGGGTGTTTATCCTGGAGAAGAGGAGGCTCAGAGGAGACCCCATCACTCCCCACAGCTCCCTGACAGGAGGGGCAGCCAGGGGGGATCGGGCTCTGCTCCCAGGGAGCAGCAACAGAAGGAGAGGACACAGGCTGTAGCTGTGCCAGGGGAGGCTCAGGGTGGACATAAGGAATAAGTTCTTCACAAAGAGCGGTCAGGTGTTGGAATGAGCTGCCCAGGGAGGTGGTGGAGTCACGGTCCCTGGAGGTGTTTAAGGAAAGCCTGGATGTGGCACTCAGTGCCATGGTCAGGGTGATGAGGTGGTGTTGGGCTTGATGACCTGCAAGGTCTGTGTGAGTGTGTGCCTCACTCACTGTGCTCGCAGCGCTGGCCGCGGTAGCCGGGTTTGCAGCGGCAGGAGCCGTCCCTGGCGTCGCAGTCCCGCGAGTTGTGCTGCACGCACTGGCACTCCTCCGAGCAGCCGGCCCCAAACGCCCACTTGGGGCACGCTGCAGGGACAGGGAAGAGCTGGTCAGTGACCCAGGGTGAGGGGCAGAAACCTCCTTCACAGAGAGGCTGGAACCCACGGGTAACCGCGAGGATGGGGACAAGCGTACCCAAGTGGCAGAAGCGGCCGTACAAGCCGGGATCGCACAGACAGGCTCCGTAAATCCGATGGCAATGACCTCGGTTGGCACAGTTGCACTTTTTCCTGCAGTGCTTCCCAAAAAACCCCTTGGGGCACCCTAGGAACAGAGAGAGGTTTCCTGAGAACATGAGCCGGTTTCAGCAGATCATTTAAATTGAGAGAAACACACGGGAACCAGAGCTGTGTGAGGCCAGGGATGCACCGAGGGAAGTGATGCAGCCATGGGGAGAGCAATCAGATTCCCTGCACCAGCTCCAAATCAGCTGTGCAGTGTCACAGGGGATGTCACTTGCTGCCACTCATCGTGGTGCTCCAGGGCACCCAGCAGCTCTGCCCTCACTGTGACCAGCAACTCTGCTGGTTGGGACAGAAATAACCCACCCACAGGGCTTCGAGAGGTCAAGGCCGTCCTCTGTGAGGAAGAAACCCATGAGGCTGCTCCTGTTGAAAAGCCACAGGGATATTTGCACTATTAAGTGAATAAAATTATTGTTTTTTCTCTGTTATGCTAAAGATCTCAATATTGGAAGCACATGGCAGACAGGCTGTGTCAGCAGAGTGCTCAGGTCAGCAGCTGCCCAGCAGCACGTGCCTTGTCCCAACGAACAGAGAAGAGGAAATGCCACCCTGGGACAACAGAGCAATTCTGTATTGCTTATTTTAATTTTACCTTCCTGTTTTCTCTCTGTCCCACTCAATCACCTACTTCCTACAGAAAGAAAAGGTTGAGGTATCTCTTGTGTTCATTTGCATTCTGCTTCACTCTTCTCCAGTAATAGTTCCCATATGCTCCCAACATGTGACTGAAGTCCTTTTGTCTGAATCTGATTGTCTGAATCTTTCTGGTTTTTAAATTATGTCCCCCAAATTTTAACCCTTTGGGAGAGAAATGAGCATCACCACCACTCCTTTGGGTACTTTGGGTAACTACTGCAGTCACAGCTTTCCAATGCTTTGGGTGGAAAATGCCTCCACAGTTTCCATGGAAATTAACCATGGAAATTGTGGGTTTGACAGTCTTTCCTGTGTCTGCCACTGAATGCCCCATGAAATAGAGATCTCTGCCCCCAGTCATGGATGAGCAGGGACTGCAAAGGTCTTTGAGTGCAAAGACAAGACAGAACACCTGGAGCACTGTTTCATGGGGGAAGAGTGCCATTTACCACTTCTTTTGCGTTTTTAAAATGACATTTTTCCACAAAAGACCCAGTGGCTGATGGAATCAGATGGAGCAGGAATGTGTTTGAGCTGCTCTCCCTGCGATGGTTCAACAAGAGAGCTGAAAGAGGCTAATGAGCAAAAAGGACCAGTGTAGGGAACCCCATAGCAAACACTTCCAGGCTTCAGAGAAGCATATCTGAGACATCTGAGAGCGGCATCAGCGATGGCCAGAACACCCATTTATCCAGTGATGGCAAATCTCTGCTAAGACATTGACACCAGGAAGGAGGAGGACAGGGATGGCCCCCAGCACCACAGGGAGAGTGAGGGGACACCGGACTCACCATCCTGGCAGAGCTCTCCAGCCACGCCGGGCGGGCAGCGGCAGGTGCCGGTGGCAGGGTCACAGGTGCCACCGTTCTGGCACCGGCAGCTCTGGCTGCAGTTGCTGCCGAAGGTGCCGGCTGGGCAAGCTGGGGAGGGAGAGGGAGATGAGGTTCAGGCTCACAGCCTCACAGGGCTGCATCTGCATGCCCCAGAGCAGAGGCCAGAGCTGCCACTCACTCTGGTTGCAGAGCACACCGGTCCAGCCGGGCGGGCAGTGGCAGCCGCTGCCCTCGGCGCCACAGGTGGCTCCGTTCTCGCAGTCGTCACAGGTCAGGCTGCAGTCGGGGCCAAACGTGTGCTCCAGGCAGACTGCAACGAGAGGCACCACAGGTGAGAACCTCCCCGAGGCTGCTGCAGCATCCTGGGGAGTTTGGGCAGAGAAAGCCCCGTGTGGAGGCTGTGGCAGAGATAAGCACAGAAAAGGCACTCAACAGGCCCGGTGTGTTCACCGAACAAACCCAGCCTGCACCGTTATTCCTGAAGAGCTCCAAGAAAAGTATGGCACTGACTGCTGCTGCAAAATGCCCACCAAATTTCTCTGACAGCGTGTGCTCCCCTCTTGCTTCCATCTCTTCCTCCTCTTCCTCGTAGTCATCACTGAAGAGCTGGGTGAATTCATCTCGCAGGATGGCGACGTGAGGGATGGGGCGGATGACGGGGCGCCGCCCATCCAGGGCCTCCACCGTGTCCTCTGTGGCTGGGGGAGCAGGGACAGAGGTGACAGCGTCACAGTGGGGAAGGAGACAAGGTCTCTGGGGGGTGAACAGTGGGACAGGAGCTCTGCAACAGCAAAGGGAAACCAGAACTCTCTGCAGGTCTCAGGTTTGCAGCACTGATCTCGCCCTGTTTTGACACCTCTAAAACTTTCCCAGGTTGTTTGTTCAGGGATTTTTTTGCCTAGAGTGGGCCCAGGTCAGATAGGTGACCTCAAGATCTCTGTAGTGCTACAAATAAACAATCTATTATTTCTTATAAGGAAAAGCTGTAGAGGCTGGTGACTGTGGAAGGGGCCCTGGCTCTGTGTTTAACGTGGAGCCATCACTGCAGGCAGTGTAGCTACTGGAGGTGTAGCTGTGCCAAAACTCCCTACACTTCTTTGGACAGTGCTGTGAACGAGGCTGAAACAGGACTGGTCCTGTCTGGGAAAGCTTTCCAGGGCTGGGGTGGGGCACTGCCACTGCTCAGGTGCTGGGAAGGATTTGAAAGAGGTGAGGTGCAGGGCTAAGGAGCTGCTCCTGGCTCGGACAGGAGGCAGAGGAGGGACGCACTGCCCGGGCTGAGGCAGCTCAGATGAGGCACTTACCGATGCAGCTCCTTCTGTCTTCATCCAGCTTGTGCCCAATGTCACAGCCACACTGGAACGACCCTGGCTGGTTCTGGCATGTGTGTTCACACCCACCGTTGTTTGCAGAGCACTCATCCACATCTACAAAGGATGGGACGCTCCAGTGGGACAGGAGCAGTGACAGGGACCCAGCCATGCCTGGCCATGCAGCAGTAATAGGCTGGTGGCATCCTCTCTGCTAAATATGTAAAGCCATCGACTCTAAAAAATGGAGTTAAACCACCTCAGGGACTAGGGATGCCTGGGTTTCAACAAAAAATGTGCTGGGCTTCAGTTCCCATCCATTATTAATTGTGTAGGAACAGGTGGGTGTGTTTGGCTCCTTCCCCTGGGAAATGCTGAGAACTTTGGAAGTGAGAACAATTATTAGGGGTTTTTTTTTCCCCACATTCTTTCTGTTGAGAAGGTGGCTCATCAGAAAGCTGGCAGGAAAACTGGTAGGAGCTAGGAGAAACTGGAGGAAATGCCTGGCTGTTGGCAACCAGGTAGGACAATTTCTTTTTCTTCTAATTAAAAGCTTCATTAGTCACCATCTTGGCTGTGTATTATACAGACACTGTTATTTATCCTTATCCCTTGGGTGAAAGTGATGGGCAGTGCTGCCCTCTGGGGTTGAACATCAAATGGTTTTTGTGAATTAATGGGGTCAGGCCTGGGCCAGCTCACTCTGAGTTAGCCCAATCTGACCTCGATATGTTCAAAAATCCCACTGCCCCTCTCCAGTTGGGCTGGGCTTAGAGTAGGGATTAGAACTGAGCTGCCCAACCCTGAACAAACCGAGGAGAGTGACAACAGGCAAATTAGATGTGGAGGGACCTATTCCCTGTGTGTGCCTGGAGCCCAGTGAGCTGTTGGCACTCACCATCACAGCCACAGCCGTCAGTGCTGAGCCTGTACCCAGCATGGCAGGAGCACTCGTAGCCCCCAGGGTAATTGTAACAGTCCTGCTGACAACAGTGAGAACCGGTGTCACACTCACTGATATCTAAATGAGAAACAAAGCGTGTTAATACACTGCAGAGTGGTGACAGGAACTGTTAAACTGCTCCCTGACTAGTTCTGGTGAGCTTTTACTGATCTGCTGCCAAATGCTGAGCCAGGATTCTCGAGTTCCTCTTGAAATCAGGGAATTTTGTGTTAACAGATCATGCTCCCCATCGAGGGAGGAATCCTGAGTCCTTGAGGGAAGTTCATTGTGATTCCCAGTTGGGGACTGTGGTTACAGGTTTTGTGTCCTTACAAGCAGGGTGATTCCAGCTGACTGACTCCTGCTTAGGGCAGTTTCATCCAGGAAAAATCAATTAGTTTGGAAGACATAATTGCTGTCCAAGTCATAAGTGCTGTCCAAGTATATCTTGAGAGAAGTTTGGGGATATCTTTGAGTAGAGCAATATTTCATCTGCTCTCACTTTCCATCAGTTTCTATCCTCTTTAGCCTGTTTGAAGTGCACATACACAGTAGCCAAGAGGGATCCTGACCTAAGATCCCAAGAGGGATCCTCACCATTACCTAGGATGTGCTTGGAAATCCAGGTCTGGCTTTTCCCTGTTCCTTACCAGTGCATGACTTCTGGTCCTCTTCCAGCCGAAAGCCAAAGTTACAGGTGCAGACTGGGCCAGAGCTGGTGTGATGGCACATGTGGGAACAGCCCCCATTGTTGACTTCACAGCTGTTCACAATCTCCATCTCTATCCCTGGAAAAGGCAGCTTGCTTAGGATCCCGTGGGACACATCTGCATACACCGCTGGCCCCTGCCTGCCCCCGGTGCTGTGCCCCCACCAGCTCCTGGCACTGCATCCCTGCTGAAGAGGGGATCTGCAGTGGGAAAGGATGGAAATAGCTCAGCACAGAGGCCACTGCTGGGCTGGGAAGTGGGGTATAAAAAGAAACCTCTGGATCTCACGCAGCCTCTTAGGGACGGGGTCGTGGAGCAGGCTCTGGACAATCTCTGGGATGAACAGGCTGCGGATAAAACTGCTCCCACTCCTGCCAAGCAGCAGCATGTGCTGCCAACCAAAAGTTGGCTCAGCCTCAGAGCAGAGCTGTTCTGGTGCCAGGGAGAAATGGGAGCAGCAGAACACAGCTAAGTAGGGAAACATCCAGATGCCTACAGCGAGAATCATTAGCTCCTGACATGTCAAAAGTGGTCGGCACAAACATCAATTGCAGCCATAGATCATCTGAGCTTGGCAAGGTTTCTGTAAACTTGTCTAGTTAATTAAGCTTTCTTAAACTAAAAGGAACTTGTTTCATGGAGCTTTGACTCAATCCTGAACCTCAGGAAAACAATTTCTGCCTTCAAGAACACCGAGTTTTTTGTGCATTCAGACCCACGGAGGATGAAAGAAAGGGAGCTTGATGCTTCCCAATGGATCTGTGCTTGTCAAAAACAAAAGCTGTGCCACAGTGAAAGACTTTTTCCAGATTTCACAACATGATTGTCATCCCTCTCTTCCCTTTTCTTATTAAAGCAGCACAAACAGGGTTATGCTTAAAAGAAACATGCTAGGAAGGGCAGGGAGAAACACCTTTCATGTGGAAAGGCTGCTTTGCTGACCCCAGGGCAACATCAGTGGTTATGGTGTGAGATTGTCTGTGTCTCTAAGAAGAAAGCTGTGTACATACTTAGGCTCTTAAATCTCATGTCATCATCCTGGTGCCCCATAATTGCTCTGTCTGATGCCTTTCAAGACCCATTTATGGCCTGTAAAGCCTTGTCCTCATACCCTTGCCAAGCTCCAGCAGCTGCAAGGGAACCCTCACAGCCCCCAGTAACACCAGCTGCCAGCACTGGGAATGCCACGGTGGCTGTCATCTGTGAGGGGCTGGTGGCTCTGGCTCAGCCTGGCCCTGCTGGGGTGCACCAGCTGCACGAAGCCGTGAGGACAGTCTGGCTCACTCTTGCATCACAGAATTTATTTCTTTCCTTGATGTGATCCCTCCACTGGCTCAATTCCTCCAGTGACACATCTGCAGCTGACTGAGCTAGTCCAGCAGAGTCCCCAAGAGCAGAACTTGGCTTATTTGAAGCCAAATGGCTCCAAATCAATTGTCTTAACCAGCTAAAGTGGCTTTGTGGTAACTTTAAAGACTAGACCAAGATTTTTATCTTGGTGGGGGAGTAAACCGCCTCAAAACTGCTTGTGAAATCCTTCAGCAGAAATTGCCACAGCTTGGAGCTGGCAATTCCCAGAGGGCAGTGGCAAACATGTGCCTGCAGCAGCCCAGCTGTGCCCTGTCCTGCTGGGCAGGGCTGAGCCCACGGTACTCACGGTAGCATCGCTTGCCATCCGCCCCCAGCTCGTAGCCCGGGTTACAGGTGCACTTGAAGGAGCCCCGGGTGTTGAGGCACTGGTGTGCACACATGGCCAGCCCTGTCAGGCACTCATTCATGTCTGGGAGAGGGAGAAACCATAGGATAAGTAGGCTGAACCTTAAACATCCTTGCAAAGGGACTATTGTTATGATATTTGAGTTCTGCACTGGTTTCTTGCATGCTAAACCCTTCATTGGGGTCCAGACCAAAAAAGACACCGAGTTAAGAATTTGGAATTGCTGTAAAGCTTCTCAGGAGATTGGATCACACGACAGTGGGACATTCACAGAATCACAGAATCAGTTAGGCTGGAAAAGACCTTTGAGATCATCAAGACCAATCTGTGAGCTAAAACTACCTTATCATCAGACCATGGCAGTCAGTTCCACATCCAGTTTATTCTTAAATAAAGAATAAAAGATGGTGACTCCACCACCTATCCTTGGACACCCCATTCCAATGCCTGATCACCCTTTCAGGGAAGAATTTCCCCCCAGTGGCCAGCCTACCCCTCCCCTGGAGCAGCTGTCTGTTGTTGCAGAATCTCGAGCAGGGCTCTCGCACAGACAGCACCCGAGACATCCAAGGGAAGGCGTGTGCTCCCCTCCGTTCTGCTCACACTGAGCACTCCCTCATCCACGAGACACAGCGATTTCCCTCCAGGGGAGCTCTGCAGGGCACTCACCTTCGCAGGCCTTGCCATCAGGGGCCAGCTGGTAGCCGGGGTGGCAGTCGCAGCGGGCACGGCCGCGGTGGCTGTGGCAGCGGTGCATGCAGCCCCCGTTCCTATCAGCACACGGGTTCCTCACTGCAGCCAGAGCAGAGAGCCAGCTCATCCCACATGGATCCTGCCTCCTGTGCCATTGTGGGAGAGCGGGACAGAGCAGCAGGAAAGCCTGTGGTCTGTGAAAACCACTTCTGCACCAGGCAGAGAGTCCCTGCTCCACCCATTCAGGATGATTTACAAGGTGTGAGATCCTGCAAAAGGCTGGCATTAAGCTGGATAAAACCCTTCCAGCAGAGGCTTGGCACGGGCACGTCCCTCTGCAGAGATTACAGAGCAAGTGCTGGCAATCTGCTCCACGTGCTCCTACCCAGAGGTTTGCCAGTCTCTGACCTGCCCCAGGACCTGGACAGATGCTCCAAACCCCACTGACTGCTGCATTTGTAACATCCCAGTGGTTCCTTTTTCCACAGCAACTTCACAGGTCAGGACTTCCCTCCTTCCTGCCTTTTGAATGCCAGCTGCTATGAATGAGAAAAACCTTGTGTTCTGTCCCCTTCAGCTCCTCTCCCTCCTGAGCCAGGAATAGGTCAACCAGAGAGGGAGAGGATCCCACCCTGCTGCCACACTCTGCTGTCCCTCCACTCCCACAGCAGCCTGTGCCTCCATTCAATTTCATTTTTGTTGGCTACCCTCCTCCAGCTCTTCCCATCCCTTGGAACAAGCTGCAGGATATGTCCATGGCAACAAAACACAGGGAGTTTTTACTGGAAATCCCCAGGTCTGATCTGCTGGACATCTGAGCATCCCCATCCCGCAGCTCCCAGCTGGAAGCTCCCCAGCCCCCCGGGCGCGCCCCAGGACTCACGGACGCAGCGCCTGCCGTCCTCGTGCAGCTGGTGGTTGTGCCGGCACTGGCAGCGGTGCTGGGCCAGGGTCACCTGCACACAGTCGTGCTCACAGCCACCGTTGTTCAGGGCACACGAGTTCAGAGCTGCGGGGAAAAGGGACACAAGGTTTGGCACAAAAGGATGGCACCTGCATGAGCAAAGGGCACCCCTTGCACAGGACCAGGGCAGACTGCACACGCTTAAAACTCGTGAGAATTTAAGCCTGGAGCACATTCAGTGACAAGTTCATGGCTGACTTGATGAGCAAGGAGGGTGTGAAGTGGGACATGGTGCTGCAAAAGCCTATGGGCAGTGCAGGAGAGGCCACCCACCATGTGCCCGGTGGGCACCCTGCTCTTTCAAGATCAGTTCAACAGTGTTGGGTAGGAACTTAAAATGGTTCTTTCCCACCATAAAAGGCCCCAGCACCCTCCCTGAAAGTGATTCCAGGACACAGGGAGCTGGGTCAGGTCCTGTCCAGCACTACATGGGAGGGAAGCAGGTTTCCTGCCCAGGCATCCGCCCTCTCTGAAGGGTGCCGTGTCAGCAGCCAGGCTTCTGTGCCATTGCTGAAATTCCCATCCTTTTGTTCCAGGACAGTCTCTGCAGGTGCAGTGGCACAGCTGGTTCAAGCCATTGCTGCTCAGAGAGTTGTGCTCAGGCACATTCAGGTTTTCCTGTTACAAAAATTGAGTTTGTGGCTCCATGATGTGCAAAAGTCACCAATCACACAGGGCGAGGCCCAGCAGGCGCTGCCAGTTCTGCAAACACTCTGGGAAAAATGTTTTGAGATGCATCCTGTGTGTCCATACCTGGGCCAGGTGTAACAACCCCCAGCTCAGGGCTCTGACCAGCAGATTTCTGTGTGGAACCTGGGGCACGCAGGGTCCCTGATGCTGTGACCAGCAGCGTCCCCCAGACAGAGCACACGGACATACAGCAGCAGGAGCTCTGATTTCACCCTAAGTGCAGGCAGGACTGGGAACTGAGCTTCCAAACTGGAGTTCCTGGCCATGCCACAGCATTTCTGTGTGGCCTTGCGCAAGGAGCCCAGCAGATTCCAAAGATTCAGGAAACAGAAGCTTTTGCCTGGGCTACGGCACAAAACAGACCCCGTGACCCAACGTGTGGGCTCCTCACAAGCCTGCTATCATTAATCAGCCTGGGAACAGCTTCCTCCTGTTCCTGTAATCTGGGATGTCTCTGCAAGATCAGCAGAGGAGCGGGATGTTTAACTGGGATGTGAGCACCTTGCGAGCAGCCAGGGCAATGTGTCAGAAGCTTTGTTTTTACTGCAGCTCTCCAGGACCATCGGCCTTGGATCCAGGAGGAATTTGAGCTGGGAATCAATATAAGGAAGGACTTTCTGGAGCTGGATCCATGGACTCTGGTAAAGAAGCCATTGTGGGATAACGGCTTGCCTCCAAAGCCATCCAAGTCCCCCTCTTGGAGGGGGATGTCTCCCGAGTTAACCCACCCAACTCTTTATGCACTGAGCTTCTCCAAAGAGAAGTGTCTCTTACAAGAATTGGGAAATTGGCCTTTAAACCCTGTTCTGTCTCTTAGAAGCCACCAAAGTGTCACAAGCCTCTGGGCTGGTGGAACATGGATCAAGCTGGCCCCAGTCCAGGATGGAAACCCAGCCCTGGCTCCCATAAGCGGAGCAGAACGATGAGCTGTGGTCTCACACGTTTCTGACCTATTTTTCAAACTCCAGAATAAACTAATGTGCTGGCTCAGAGGAATCTTATAGGAAAACTAAAAATATCTCTAATGAAAACCATCTTTCCCCAGGCTGATCCCTCAGGTGATCGCAGTGCCCTCCACAACCTCCAGAGCTTTGGAAGCAGGAGAGCCTGGAAAGCAGCTGCCAGCAGAAGTCTCTACTTATAACACACCTCTGAATCCCAAGGCAAGTTGGGTCCTTGCTTTTGTACATTAGAGAAAACAAATATTTGGCTCAGGACAAAAATAAAGGCAAAAAAATATATGTTTTCATTTTTTTCTGCACACCATTCCCCTGCAAAAAAAAATCTGCTTTAACTCAGAGCTATGGATCACCCTCCTTCCAAATGTTAAAAAAGCTCAACTTCTCATTTTTTCCTCTAACTGGCTAAATAACATTCAGGGGAATAAAAGAAGCTTGACAGGGTCAAAATTTTGCCATACAAAACATAAGGCTGGAGCAAGAACTTGGGGTTTATGTTAGTTGTGCTGGCATTGTGTCCTTTAATCCATTTACAAGGAAACAACAGAAATTCTCAGCGTTCCTGAAAAGCTCTGGGTCAAAGTTACACTACTCAAACTCTAGCAGAGATGGGTGGTCATTTAAAAATATTCCAATATATTTAAGTCTTTAATAACATATATTCAAAAATAGCCATAAATAATGTGCTTGTTTGAGAGCTTTTTTTTTTAAATAAAAAAGAAAAGAAGTCAAACAATGCTGATGCCTGCCAAAACATTCCTTCATCCAGGAAAAGCACTGGGCCAACATGGAACAAGCCAATGAATCTTAGGTCTAAAACAACCTCCCAGGATGCAGTTATTCGGATGAATTTGAAATCTAAATAACAGCCTGCTTACAAACTCCTCTAAGACAAATGAAACAAATTGGAAGTCTGGGTTCTTCCACACGAGATTTCAGGAGAGAGAGCCTGTGTGAGGCTGGGTCTCCTTAGCTGGCTCCTCGCAGAGTCACAGCCAGCAGACCTTGCTGCTGGCCTTGTTTTAATTATTGCTCAGGATTTTTATTCTGTTTACAGAACCACTCTAAAAATATTTCCATTACCAGATGCTCTGCCGAGCTTAACATTTCTGTGACAAGGCTGCCAAGCTCAGTGTCATCCTGTACATCACACAGATTTTTGTAATTACAGCTCAGACAGATTTTCCACAGATGATATTTCAGTGTCTGTGAGAGGGAGGTTCCTTCCAGCCCCGCTGTCTGAGGGGAGTGCAGTGCTGCTGGAAGATGCTGCTCCCAGATTGTGACACTCTCAGGCCTGGGAAATGGATAAAGAGGGATGGAAAGGAGATTTTTGTTGCTGACTGCACTCAGGAAGTGGATCTGTGCAGCAGCAGCCTAACACAGGAGGTGATTTAATACCTGATCTCTGCACCCTCCAGCTGCCCTTCTGACTTTTCCTCTCTATTCTCGCTTCTCCTCTTTCCTCTTTCTCACCTTTCCTTCAGATTCAAGTGGTTTGCCACCAGAAGCAGGAGAGTGACTGTGAGCAGCTGTAACCAGAACTGAGCTGGATGTTCCTTCTGCAGCATCACACAAACCCCATCGATTCTAAGAAAAGGCTGAAAAATGTGTGACTGGGCAGAGAAAAAGTCAAATTCCCTAAAACGTGTGAGCTGTCTGCAAAACGAAAAGCCTCAGCAAGCACACGTGATCGCTGACTCCCTGCACACACAGTTCAAGCCCACACAAACCTCCTGGCATGGTCCTTCTGTTCATTATATCATCCCTATCGTTGAGATTTCTTCATTTGAAGTTCTCCTAATATAAATATGGATCCATCATGTAATCCCAAACTGATTTATCCTAACCTCAGACAACTTCCAGAAACATGTTGTGTGTTAATCCAGACCATCCCTCTGCTCCACAGGCCAACAAAAGCAATTGGCTCCCATTAAACCCCTTGGCCTGGCCTGCATCCCTCTGCTGAAACAGTGGAGAAGGACCTGGAGATGTCAGCTTCCTGCCTCCTGCCCATGTGGTTCTGATAAAGAAAGAGGTAATTTCAGGACGCCCAAGGCCTCTCTTTGTTCTGTTTCACTCACAATGGAAGCGGCTGCTCCTTTTCTCTCTCTCTCAGCAGCAATTTGAACAATGGCACAACAAAAGGATCCTGCACAACAGAGCTGCAGAGCACAGCAGAGTTGGGCACAGGAAGGGGATTTTAAGCCATTTTTGTGCTGTCCTGAGTCACAGCCCCAGGTACCAGCTAACCCTGGAGAGCTGCCTTGGCCACGCCAGCGCATTTTGGGAGAATTCTGGAGCTCCAGCTCAGCACTGCCAATCCATCATCAGAGCCTTTGTGGGTTTTGTGGGCACCAGAAAGCATTTAAAGAATTAGGTCCATGATTTGACAGCCCTTAACTAGAAACTTGACTGCAAAGGCCTCTTGCTGTCTCCAGAACACACTCGCTGGGGCTGTCAGGAGCTTCCTACAGCCCAAATTTGTGCTTGTCCCAGTGTGGAGCTACAAGCTTCCCTGAGCAGGAGATGGATGGGATGGATGGGATGGATGGGATGGGTGGGATGGGTGGGATGGGTGGGATGGGATGGTCACTTTCTCCAGTTCCCTTCATTCCTAGACTATTCCCTATATGTAGTGGCAACATTTTGTGTTTTAACAGCACAGAATCTCTACAGAAAATGAGAGGACATCCCAGCTTGAAGAGAAAAGCAGCTCTGAGCAGTTACCCCAAATCCCTCAGAATGGACCACAGGGCAGTCTGGTGTCTGTGGGTACAACAGGACAGCCACAAACACCAGCAAAGGAGTCACCTCTGAGCCTGAGCTCTGTTCTGAGCTCTTGGAAAGAAGAGATATTCCACCCCTCCTCATATCCAGTTTAATGGGTTAGTACAGAGCTCTGTGAAGGTGTGACATACACACATGGACAGGCACAAAAGCGTAAAGAGAAAAAGCCACCAGTCCTGAAATGAGAAAGCCCCATTTTAGATCCCACTCTGTTGATATTTTAGAAACATTATTAGATAATTGAGCAGTGAGAGGTTTTTATTTGCCTTGCCTGGTCTGCTCTGATTTCCTGGGTGCTCTGGATCCCAACAGTACCAGCACCACAAAGTCACTGCAGATCAGACCAGATCCTTCAGGCTCTGCTCCCCACAGGTTCAGAAACTGCCCCACTCATTCCTATGGATCAGATTTCATGAACAGAGACCCCTCACTTTTGGCAGATGAATTCCAGCACTGCACATTATGGCAAATACTTGCTCACAAGTTTAATGCAAAGCAGGTTTGCAGCACTGGGCACAGGCAGCCAGAGCAGGGCAGCCCTGCCTGCCTGGATCCTGTGGGAATGCTCCAGCAGGGAAGCCTGGAGAGTGAAAGAAAATGATGCAAATTCCTCTTAAAGAAGAGATTCCTCCCTATAGCGACCCATTTTATGCTTTCCTTGAAAACTGTTCCACCTTCTGGGGCTGGCGCTGCCAGGAACTCCCCGTGTCAGTCTGTCCCACGTTTTATTCTGCGAGGCGCAGGCAGCTGCAGGATTGCTGCATGCCACATGAAAGGGAGCAACATATTCCAGACTGGCCAATTAGGAGATGACAGACCACAGCACACTTACATGTGAGCGGCAGCAGCGCGTCACCCCGACACGAGCGCTCGAGTTCAGGGCTGGAGCAGCAGCGGGCTGCCAGGGCTGGCTTGGTCCCTTATTTGCCATCCTCTTCCTTCTGGATTTTTCCAGTGAAATATGGGGTGCTTGGGGATCTTGCACCTTAAATCTCACTTGTTTGGGTGTCATTATGTGCTGGAGGCAGCTGTGGCCAGATGTGCGCCAGTGCAGAGCTGGGCACGGTGGGTAAAGCTTCCCTGGATGGATTTTTCCTGCTCACATAGCCATTGCAAACTGGAACACACAGGCTCGCACAGAAGACTCTGGAGAGTGACTGTGTTCCGAGAAAACCCAGCAAATGGTCTCTGCAAACACCAGCACTCAGAAATTCTTTCCACTTGCATGAAAATAACCCTCAAATAATGGAAAAATGTGTCAAATGAAGCTGTGGGGGAGAAATGTTTTAATTAAAACAGCCATAAATGCTGGAGGCATCTGAGTTCTACTCTGAGCTTCCAGTTTGGGGCTGGCAGATAACATTTCAAGGAATTGGCCCCAGAATCAGCTGCAGGGCAAACCTGGTGCCTGGATGGTGATGGTTGGACAAGCACCATCCAAGAGGATGCATGACCACCATCCCAGAGAAGAAGGTTTTGGATTATTATGGCCTCAATTCCCCACACAGCCACATTTATTATCACTTGTCCATCACATCTGCTGCCCACAGCATGGGCTGGGAAAATACTGAGGTCAAAATGAAGCCTGACTTGAGATTTCACATAATTTTATTTATGTATCTGTTCTGAGAATGCCATATTTGACTTACCCTGTATCAAAAGCAGAGGCACCAAAGCACTTGGGAGTTACTTCTCCCGAACCAGAATAAACTCAGGGCCAGCAAAGCAGCCCCAGTTGCACATGACTACAATGGAAGAGCACTAAGTGTTTTGAACCCAGGGACGGAAACTGTGAGGGAAAACACAGGGACAAGAACAACACACAACCCACCAGCATCATTTCATATTCCAGGCAGAGGATGGGTGGGAGTGAGGAAATCAAGGATTTCTGTACAGTGCCATGGATTTACTGGTAGGAAAAGGGCTGCAAAGAACAAGAGGCTCCCAAGGAATTCCCAGGGGAGCCTTACCGAGGCAGGTCCTGCCGTCCGTGTGCAGGCGGAAGCCGGGCTGGCACTCGCAGTAGTAGGAGCCCAGGGTGTTCACACAGCGGTGCTGGCAGCCCCCATTGTGCACCTGACACTCGTCAACATCTGCAAAAAAAAAGCAAGGCAAGAGAGGTCAAAAACTCAGGCGAGTGGACAGGAAGGTGTCTGAGCTCAGGAATATTTATCCTCTGTTGCTGGGCTCCAGATCTGAGGAATGAAAGCAAAGGGAACAAGATCGGCCCCATTTTGTTATGTTCAGTCAGCTAAGCTATTGGTGAAATTCCAGGGACAAACCTGCAATCAGTGAACAGCAACCACAAAAACCCCATCTTACTTATCAGTCAGCACAAACCATCCTCATCTGATCACCTGACAAGGGTCACCTTTCCCACTGAATCCAAGATAATGAATTAATTCACATTTTACACTTCCTCGCTCATCAAAGGAAATTTTAAGTTTCTGGGGCAGATTTCTTCCTGTGCCATAATCAGAAATTTGGAGATGATGTGGACAGAGCTGCACAGTTCCTTAATTCCTGTCATTTGTGGGTGCACAGGTGTGCACCTACACCACCTTTGAGACTGGAAAGGATCACAGGGGGGATCCAGATCCACACGAACAGCAAAGCACCCAACCAGCCATTCCCTTCCCCATGGACAGAAAAACTCCAGCAGCTTTGGGTCTTCTCGTGTTTCTCTTTGCACTTTCTGCACCTCCAGCTCACCATGCCCCTCCCAGCGAGGACCGCCCCGAGCCGAGCTGAGTTCCCATCTCCGTCCCATCCACAACTGTTACTAAGAAGATAAAGAAACATTTCCTGAGTGAATCATGGCAGGGTGGGGGCCCGGCCGCGTCCTTGCACGCCAGAGGTGCAGGAACGTGCCCAGCCCTGCGCCCGGTGCCCAACCCCAGCCCCGCTTCACCCACAGCTCCCACTGGGCAGGCAAAGGACACACAGAAAGGAGAAACGCAGCTTGGCTGAGCCAATTTTTACGGTCGTCAGATTAATTGCCAAGAAAATCAGCCAGCAGCAAGGGAAGGTCTGGGTCAGGAATGGAACGGGAAGTGAAGTGGGAAAGGTGACGCCTGTTTTGAGTTGGTGTTTCTGAGCTCTGCAGTGATAATACAGAATTACTCTTTTCTCAGAACACTTTTCTTAGCAAGGCTTAAAACATTAAAACCTAAAGCTCAGAGATCATAAAAAGCCCTCCTGTCGCAGTGATTCCCAGAGAACCCTCAACCTTGTCTTGGGGTGTCCTGCTACACTGGCCATGCTGGGCTCCTCCTGCAGAGCTCCCACTGCAGCTGCGGTCTCCAGCAACCCAGCAAAATGCTCATTTCTGTAATGCCAGCCCTTTATTCAGTGGACTGAACCTTTTAGGAGGTTCTAGTATTTTCTTCCTGATTTTTCCAAGACAGACACTTAGCAATGAAAGAAAGGAAAATGAATAGATTTTTGAGGTGAAACAAGCTTTGAGTGATGCTCTCTGAAGAGTGAGCCAAAGCAGCTTTTCAAGGAGAAAAATGTGATGGCATGAGTCTGAGATGCTGGTGAAAGCAACCTAATTCTGATTAAATCATTTTCCTCTGCACACATTTGGGATACTACAGAGCCCTAGAGGCCCTGAGGCACTCCCTACTCATCTCTGTGGGCAGGATTAGCTATTAATACAGAGAACTGGCTCTATTCAGTTCAAGAACAGGAAAACTGGGGTTTGGGAAGGTTTTACATAGCATAATAAAGTTTTTTGGTCTGAATTTAAATGACTATTCCACTGCTTCCCTTCAACTCTAATCTGAAACCATAGAGAATTTACTGTCCAAGAAATTTAGTGATGTGTTAAGTAAACTTCTTACTTTCACCCCATTACTCATACTCAGTAATTTTACATCTCCTCTCTCCATGTCTCCTCTTCCCCCTTTGTACTTTTCACCTTCTAAATCTCCATGATTCCAGCACTGTCCCCACCCCAACCCCCTCCTGCTCTGGGAGAGCAGCCAGTCCTTCCTTGTGCCGTGGCCGTAGAATCACCCATCACCTCCCCTGGCTCCACATAACCCACCCCCTCCCGGAGTCCCTCTGATCTTCTCTGCAGCGCCAGGGAGATTTTGGGACACCCTGCACAGTGGTGTGACCAAAACAAAACTGTGCCCAGGGGGAGGGAGGGGGCAGATCCACCAGCCAACCCTGGCAGTGGCAGCATCTCCAGGCGTGCCTGAGGCTCACCAGCGAGCGACTCAGCCGGGAACATGGACTGGGAAGCAGCAGGAGCTGCTCCCAGGGCCACGAGGAGCAGCTCTGTGAAGGGTCACGTTGCCCCTGGTACAGGTCCTGGCAGCAGGAGCCAGAGCCCTACGTGACACTGCGTGTGCTGCGGTTCGTGGCACGGCGGGGTTATTTTCCTACTGGATAGCTGACAAAATCTGCTTGAAATTAGTATTACCAAAGGAAAGAAAATGAGAAGCATACAGGCTTCTCTTCAGCTGACTCTGAGCAAGCCAGAGCCGTGCCAGGACAGAGCCTGCCAAGCCCTGCTCTGCATGCACAGGGCAGTGGGTACCAGGCAAAGCCAACTGAGGCAGGAGCCCAATGCAGCAAGGGCTGGGGAGTAGGGCTGGGATCAATGGGCAGGGAAATATCTCTGCTGTGTAAAGAAACTGGGATTCATGTCTTCTGCAAGGAAGGCTCATCCCAGCCTCTTCTCTGAGCAGAAACACTCCCTGGAACCTCAGATGCCTACATGGACTAACACAGGTAACACAGCAATCAAACATAGGGAAGATGAACACAAAACCAAAATAAAAAAAAGGGGCAGAGAGTGAGGAGATGGCTTTGGATCCCTGAACAGACACAGGTCCTTCCTGAAGGAATACTGATTTATCTCCAACAAGAGCTACATGTAGAGGGGAAGAAAGTGGCAATAGCAGCTCTAGAAAGTATTAGATATTTAGTACAGAGGCAGTTTATCTCCCTGCAGGGCTGAGGAGGAGGCGATGGATCCCAGCTGGAAGTACAGGCAGGAGGAGCACTGCAGAGGTTTGCTCTGTCTGGCCAAGCAGCAGTGCCAGGCTTTAATCCCTGCAGCAATTAGCCTGGATTACAGAGCAGGGCTGCAGGGAAAAGGCTAATTAAAATCCATTGAGATGAGCATGTGTGGGATTTACTGAGTTTATCTTTCCAGTACCAGTTTGTTGAAGACGATTCAGCAATCTCAAGAAGTAAAAAGGCTGAATGGAGAGGACCCAACAGTCCCTGCTCCTGGGCAGGGGAGCACAGCCATCCCACACTATGGACAGATTAGAATGAAAAAACCCTCTGCATTACTTAATTTCTTGCATGTGTCACACAGTCCCAACATGAATAACCTGAGGAATTCAGATGCCCTGTTATTCCACACCCCCTGTGTGCAGACAAAACAGGCATGGCAAGGTCCAACAGTGCAAGGAGGCCACGGGAGAGGACAATGCTTCATCCCCTCTCTGCTACCCTGAATGTTTTTTCCTCCCCTAGGCTGGGGAAGGATGGCTGGGAGGGTGAGTGACTCACTGGAGGGAAGAAAAAGGCCATTTGGGGCAGTCAGAGCACTCAGATTTCATCTCATCCTAAACTAGGCATTTGAGAAATCCCCAAAAGCACTTAATGAGATGCAGGGAGTTATTGAGGCCAGTATTCCTTCCACTGCAGGTGGGAGATGCCCAGGGCTTTCCCACACCACCTCTGCCATCCTCAGCAGCAGATTCCAAAGGCACCTCGGGAATGGATGCATCAGCTTTACAACAATCTGATGGAGTGAAAACACTGCTTTTCCTCAGTCCCTGGCTTTGTCCTCAGCTCACCTTTTCCTGCCCCCGAGCACCAGGGCTGGAAGAGTCTCCCAGCTCCCACTTGTGCTCCCGTCTGCCTCGGGATGGGGCTGCAATTAGGAATTAGTCAGCGCTGAGCAGAGGTGCACGCAGCAACAAGCACCTGGACTTGCTCTGGACTTGCTGCTGCTCTCACCCTCTGCAGCCTCCTTTCATCACTGTTTTACCCCATTCCCTGTGCAGGCTGTCACTCTGGGTGAAAGATATCCCTGTGCCATGCCGTGGAAGACAACGGATTCCCAGACACGGACCTGGGAACGGAACCTCCAGGTCGCTGTTGAAGGAGCTCATGGAATATGATCAAACAACAGCTCTGCTGGTTTCAGGCTGATTTAGAGGTTCACGGAGAGGATATCACAGCACCAGGCCCACATCACTGTGATGATGGATTGCGAGTCCCCAGCAGAGCACAAAGCTCCTCCTGTAAGGGTGGCTGTGTCAGAACACAACACCCAGCACTGCCATCAGCCATCACACCGACACCAGGACCCAGCAGAGCCCTGGCTGTGCACACGGGGCACATCAAGGCACCCGAGACCCCTGTGAAAGCCACAGTATTACTGCACAAAGCACCTCCTCTCTCTCCTGTCACGCACAAAGCCGCCGGTGACGCGCACACAGCAGAGCCTTGTGCCGCGGCAGCTGCCTGCTGAGGGGACACGGCTGTGGGGACTGCATGGAAACCAGCACACAGACCCTAAAAAATCACACCAAGACAACATCTGGGACTCTAAAAGCACACCAAGAGAGCTCCTCTTACCTGTCAAGGAGAAGCTCAGGCAGTGAAGGAAAAATGAACCAAATTAACCAAACCCACAGTGACACCAGTTTAGGATGAGTCATGAGATGGATGAAAGTGAGAAAACCCCTCAGCCTCAGAGGTACCTCACACCAAAGATAAAGCCAAGGATGCACAGAGCTACCTGTCCATGGAGCTGAGAGAAGCAGAGTCAGGATCAGGATCTGATGAATTCTGCATTAGGGAAGGTTGGATTCAGCACAAAGCTGGATCTCAGAAGCTTGTCTTGGAGAGTTACTTTGAGCCAACACAGTCAGATGGAAACAGCAAACACGATCTGAGTTTGAGACAAACACCTGATCTACAAATAACAAAGCAGCGACTCACCCCTTTCCGAAGGTCTGGCACATCTCACAACTATTCTGATATCACTTTATAACCAACTGCTTGGGGCATTTATTTATTAGCATTATCTCAGGATGAGATAATGCATTCCTTAATG